GGGGGCGGGCTAACTTGGGGATGACAACGACCCGAATGAGCGAATGGCGTCGCGGGTTGGATGCATACCAAAATTTTCCCCACCCCAGACGTCCATGCCAGTATCATACTGTCCCGACTCATCGAACCAGCGCTTGCTGATGCTGAAGAGCCCCCCAGCAATCATGGGCGTTCTGTTGGCAATGAACAATGCATGCAGTTAGCTGGCATGGTTTGAAAACGCCATGCAGCAGTGCAGCAGGGGACAGGACCGGCTATTGGGTGCGTCCTTTTGCGAGCACAGCACGTACTTGATTGGTTCATCGGGATCAACGTGATATGGAGTGAGACCCCATTGGAATTGCATGCTCCACGAAAACACTGACAAAGACAAACCAGCATAGAAAAGATAATGAAAGTCGGGGGACAATGGGGTGAAAGAGTTGCAGGGGATATACATGGAAACCTTGCTTTCGTACCACCGCGCAGCGTTGGGGTGGAAAAAAGGTACTCAAAGTTTTCCATGTTGATCACATCGATGATCGGACTCGCAACAGTTTTGTAGTCCTATGGGTTTGGACATGAGCATGTGTGTGTACCAACAGAGATGGGACCGCGCGCTCTGCGCTACCGACCTTGGCAACGTGCGCGAGCAAGGGTGGGAGCCAGCCTACGTTGGCTTCAATGTGGCTGTCGAGAAACGTCAGAACGGGGCTCTGAGCGGCGTTGGCAGCGCGAATGCGGCTTCGGATCAAGCCCTCGCGGCGCGTGTTGCGCAAAATGCGCACTTTCTCCATGCCCAACACAATTTTACCCTGTTCAGCTAAGATAGCCACAAGTCAAGAGCACAACGCAAGCAAACATGGGACAGAACCCCAGCGATCAGAAACAGCACCAACAACGTGCCAAGGAAGGTGACGTTGGCTTGGCTTACGATCATCGGAAAAGTCGTCGACAAGGATGATTTCGTCAATCAGCTCGGGCGGAGACCGATCCAGGACCCTGAGGCAAGGTGGCCACAGTGAAAACAAGGTCAAAACGGCCTGAGTTCTTGCAAAGCTGTTCAAGTCGAAGTCATTTCGTCTGGCGGAACTTACGAGCGCACGGAGCGATACAATACGGAGCGAGCTTCATTGTGGAAAGTGAAAATGATGGTGGTACTCGGCAGCGAGTCATAGTCGTCTGGATAACGGCGCTTTTGGCATCTGCGGGTGGGGAGATATGACAGGGTGAAATGCGCGACACTGTTTACAGGATTTGTGTTCCAGGGTTTTGAAAGGGGGAGGAGGACTATTATGGTAGCAGGAGTAAGAGCATTGCTTAGGTTGTCATACTTGAATGGACGGGCTTCAGGGATGAGCCGGTTGGTTGGCAAGTTGTCGCTGACCTCGACGTTAAAGCCGTTCATGTGCATGGGGTCTGGGTGCCTGCCGCAGATTGTTGGAGGTCCAAGGCGAGCAAGGACAATGAGCTCTTTCTGATGCTGACAAAAGAACGAGGCGATGGGGTCCGAGATGGAATTTGCCCGGCATGTGGGAATAAGCCATTCGATTCGCAAGCTGAAGAGAGGTGGAGGCTGAATAGTACCGGCGGGACTCAATCTCTTGAACTTTGTCCAGGCGTGGTGCCCTAATAGGTCGCGGGGTCACAAGTTGCTTGAGGGTGGGAGTTTTTGGTCCAAGCGCAAAACGAGAGGGAGTACAACAACAAGGGCGGGCAAGCAAGGCCGCCCACAGGGCCGGCTTTCAACACCTACGAGGGCTCGGCAGGTCGAGGTAGGGAGATCCATTCGGCCTTGGGGTCGGCAACATGATGCAGCTCATCGTCCAGAAAGCCGTCGACAGCCTGGTGAAAGCAGCGCGTTCAGATTCACGTGAGCAAGACGGTACCGATAGCCGGCAGGGCCATGGTTGATGGGCTGGCGCAGGGCCTGCCTGGGGTTGAGGCTTGGTATCCGGCTCGGCTGGGTCAGCCTTGGCCACGGGTTTAGTCTTGGGGGACTTGAAGAATCCGTGTTCGGGAGCCTGTTGGGCCAACTTCTTCAAGCGCGCCATCTGCTCGGCAGGCTCAGGAACGGACCAGGGTTCTTCCTGGCGCTTGGCCACCGGTCGCTGAACATGTATACATATAGCAATAAGCGCGTGGATGGTTGATGGGGTCAGCGCCCCTGTTGAACCACAGGACTGTCCCCTGGGGCGTGAACATGTGCACCGGTAAGGGGTTCAAGTTCCAACACCCACCTCGGTTGAACTGGCGGCGGTTGGGGGTGGATGTTGACGCCTGTGCGGGACGCCTGCGGATTCAAATTCCATGTCGAACACGCCATCATCTGAAAAAGTGGCATCTTGCAGTCCGTGTTCAACCTGAGCAAATCGAGAGCAGGATCCAGGGTTTGAGGGGGGTCAGCATGTCCAACAACCACCGAATCAAGAGCCACGTCTCCTACCGAGTGCGCGGCGGGGCTCGTGCGGGTCACGAGAAGGAAGAGCGCGCCCATCCATAGTATCAAAAAGCCAATGATCAGCTGGCGCCACTTGACCCGCGCCATTCCGAGTGGTGTAGCCAATCGCTCCAGCCACGGTCCTCGTCGAGCCCTGAGCCGCGAACACCAGCCTTTTTCTGTGTTTGATCTAGCCTATTTAGCGTCCCTCAACCGCCAAGCACCCACATGCAGCACCCCAGCCCCAGCCCAGCCCCAGCCCAGTCCAGCAGGCCGAATTGGAAGAGTAGGAGAAGGCGAAGGACAAGGCGAAGCAAACGGGCCAGTGGGTCGACAACACGGCAGAGATGGTCCGTCACGCTCTTTCTCTCTCTCTCTCTCTCTCTCTCTTTGAATGCTGATAAATACCATTCCTAGTCGTACATAAAAAAAAGTATTTCAGGCTCAGATTTTAAGGGCGAAGATGTGATGGAGGAAGAAAGTTAAAAGTATTTTACCTGGGAGTACTGGGGGAAGCGCCTGTTTGAAAGTATTTTGGGCAGTGCAGGCAACCAGAAATGTGTGCTTACTTCTACGAGTACAAAGTATTTTACTTTGTGCGATTCACGTGTCAGGCATTGGACCGTTATCGCGTCGTCGCCGCCCGCGCGCGTTCTCGCTGGAGAAGGTCGTGGTCGGGGTTGAAGCTCCTTCTTGTGCCTGTTCTCATACCTGTTCGCGTTTCGGCTCTTGTTTTTGACAGCGGCAACAGTGGGATGGATGTTTTGAGTGAGGCGCTTCGCGCCGTTGTGCAGCCGGACTCAGAGGAGCAGCGGTTGGCTGCGGAGAAGCACATCGAGTCAGCTCAGACGACCGAGGCAGGCAAGTAACGGGTGAAGCAGGCGGAGCGGGCGGGCCGAGTGGAGTCTGACCTGGTGGTTTCGGATGCGTCTTGGTGTAGGTTTTGCTCTCATGGTGGCCTCGTTGGCCACTCTTGAGGGCCAGGATGTTGCCATCCGCCAGGCGGCTCTCCTGGTCTTGCAGCGTCACATCAAGACGCATTGGGATCGGACCTTGGACAGCTTTGAAGAGCCCGCGGTGCCACACGAGGTTTGTGTGGCGATCAATCGTCTCCTCGGATTCCCTGCTCCCTGATCCAGACAGCTGCAGGCGGCAAGATGCAAATGGTGCTTGCCTGCTCATGGCTTTTGAATTGAACAGGCTCGGCCTCAGCTGAAACAGGGGTTGCTCAACCTCATTGGCCATGAAGAACGACTTGTCCGGCGCGCGGCTGTACGTGCCTTTGCCAGTCACCACGCCCCCATGCTGTTCCCTCATGGCTGTGATCGGTTATTTCACGGCGCATCATCCCGGGCACTGACCACTTATAGATTTACTGCATCACAACCATTGCCAATCTTGATTGGCCAGAAGAATGGCCGGATCTGTTTGATCAGGTTAGGTTGGCCGAACTGGCTCACCCACGTTTTAGCTGCCTTTGGTCCCCTTCCATTTTGCTCTCACTATTGTTGCTACCCTTAGCTTGTGCCTGCGTTGCAATCGGAGTCCCCTGCGCTGGTTCACGGTGCACTTCACGTCCTTGCCGGTGGGTCTTTCCTTTGTGTCTTCATGAAACATGTTCCAACACAGCCTGTGTGTGTGTGGGTGTGTGCAGCCAATTTGAGCGAGAGGACGCATTTTGCACAACGCCGCCTTGGTAACCACACGCCGCCTTGGTGACCACACGCCGCTTTGCCACGCCGCGTTGATTTCAATGTAGAGCTTTCCGCCCTGGTGGACGTGCGCCACCTGCCCACGCTAGCCCCACTGCTGCTGCCCCCGCTACACCATATCGCCACAAGCACAGCGGTTAGAGTCGCGCCCATGTCAAAAGTGCAGTCGCGAGCCCTCAACACCGGTCCAAACGACTTCCCACCAACATCCCCGTCCATCCTTTGTTTTTGTCTGCTGCACTGCAGTCGGCTCATTGCAAAGCGTGTCTTGTAGTATGGCCCTCGCACTCGCTCAACGGCCGTATCTTCCGTGACCAACTTTATGACTGGGCTCAGCGACTACACCAAGCAAGAGGGTGATCGCGCTCTCTACAGTGCCCACGTCAAGCCCCGCCTGCAGCCGGTACATCTTAGCGTCCGGCTGCCTGGCCCGCTCGTACCTGGCTCTGCCATCACACTCAACCCCGTTGGGTTGCCTCTTGCCTTAGTGGACATCGTTGTTGGGCGAGCTGGCCTTTAGCGAAGCCACCCCTTGGTGTCTCAAGGCCGAAGCCATTACCTCCATCACGACCATGCTGGCTGCCTTTTCCAAGGTTTGTTACAGCCTGTTCTCTTGCAGCAAAAGTCACCTGGGTCGGTTGCTTGTGACCAAGGGCTCAGGCAAAGCCTCACCATGTGCTCATGATCATCGCTTTATGCTTTTACATCGGCCTAGCCGCTGGCCAGTCTTCTGCCCATGACGACAGACTTGGTGCTCAAGCTGCTGGTGTCGTTGTCATCCACTTATGAGGCTGCGGTGATTTTCAGCTCTGAAGGCCTCGATGAGCAGGAAGATGAAGAAGGTTTGCTTGCTCTGGCCGGGCATTCTGGCCAGAAAACTTGCTTGTCAGTTGCAGTTGGCTACTTCTTTTTGGCATCCCGTTCACCCCGATTGCCTTTGCTCCAACCAGGCCTCAGCACGTCCATGGAGCCAGTCTTGCGTGCTTGCTTCGACTTTATTGCGGTACGTGGCCACCAGCTTCCTGGTCTCCCATCTCCACAGCGAGAGGGGGCTTTCCCCCGGCTTGTAGCGCACCGTCGTAGCTCTTCTGACCTTTCTTTTGAAAACGCCTGCACCCCCAAGGAATTGACGGACAATGCCAAAGCCCGCACTGTGCTTAAAGACTCGCTTCCTACCATTCTTGCTCTTATGATGCAATATGGTGCCATGACCGAGGAGCAGGTGTGCGCTAAAATTTTGACTCGCGCTAGCTGCGCTGGCCTACCCAGCCAATGAGGCGCCGTCTCACCTTGAGCTGATCGACCTTGCAAGCACAGGGCGATACTTGGTTAGAAGATGCTGATCAATTTTTGGTCGATGCGGAAGACTTGAGCATGTCGACAAGCATCGTGAGTTTTAGCAATCCTCTTGCTTCATGTTCTCTAGGATGGCCTTGGATGGCCTTGTACCACTCGCTCTCGGCTCGGGTGAAAGCTTTGGCTCATGCAGCAATCTCTTTTGAGTTTTGTAGCGAGCCCATGCATTTGCTGCGATCGACACATTGCTGGAGAGCTACGGAAAAGTCACGGCCACACGGGCCTTGTTATCAGCCATCACATCAACCATCGAGAAGGGACAAGCTGCTCGAACGACGAGTGAATTCTGGTGGGCCCGCCGTCTCATTCGCCAGGAGTACAGCGCCCGCGGGTGGAGCAAGTCAATTCTTCTCGCCTGCTCACATGCACAGATCGGCTCACAACAATTGTCCATTTTTACATTAGGTGGACGGCCTGCGAAAGCGCCTGTGCCACGCTCTGCCGTACCGCCGTGAGCCAGTTGCTGATTGACGTGCTTGGCGCGGGCAAGGTGAGCCTCCGACATGCTCAGGAATATGCAAGCATCACGCGCTCAAGTGTAGGTGCGCTTTGGTGTTTAGGTGGAGTTTGATTTGCCGAGCTACTTGGGCCGCGACATTGCAGCATTGGCCCAGGAGGTGCAGTTCCCGTTCCTGGCAGGTCGTGCGTTGTTGGCCACGGGTAAGTATGCCGCAGCGGGACCCATGGGGCTGCATAGGCTTGGCTGTTTGTGATGCGGCCAGCCCATCCACTAGCACCGATTGATGGTTCAACTGACGTACTGCATGTGGCGGTTATGCTAGGCCGGTTGGCGGAAGCAGTGCCGGCTGAGCTTCTGCAGTCATTCTTGCAACTCGCCCTGTCCGGCTTGCAGCCAGAGGCGCCCATCCCCTTCAAAGCCAGCAGCTTGCAAGCTATCAACTTTTATGCGACCAAGCTTCTGACTCATAACCCCGATTCGATCCGCCCAGCCGTGGCCGCGATCTATGAAGGCGTTTTGGCTCTTTTGTCGGTGTCTACCATGGTGAGTACAACCCCTTCGAATCAATTTTATTAGCCGCGCTTGGGCCGTCCCCCGAGCTCCTCGTCAGCGGTGTTCTCTCACAGGTTCAACCTGTTCTGCTCGGATGCGGTCGGCAAACGCGCAGGAGTTGATGCGAACAATGGTGGAGACGCTGACGCAGGTTGCTCCGGTCAATCCAGAGGTGACGGGTGCATATGCTTCAAAGCTGTGCTCGCTTGGTCTAGCCGTTTTCCTCAAGGCGTCGGCCGACGCACTGATGGCCGATGTTGTCGGCGAGTACTTTTCTGCTCTGGCCGAGCTGCCGGCTGTAGTCCCTACTCTCTTGGCCAAAGCCGTCCCCACGCTGGTGAGTCCTGCGCATTCCGCTCGACTGTAGGATCATCAACGCCACAGACGCACACCTAACACTGGCATACACGTAGGCAAGCTTGCTAGCGCGTCATGACGAGGCCGGGCTGGTGGGCCTCATTCATGTCGCCATGGATATCGTGGCTGCTATTGCCAAGTCAGCAGATGAGGAACATGGCGCCCAATTCTTGCAGCAGGTGCTGCCAGTTGTTGTGGACAGCATCTGCACCTCTTCAGATATTAGCCTGGTGCAGGTGCGTTGTTCGATCGGCACGCCACAAAAGCAGTGCCTTCACACTCACATTGACATTGGCTGTGGGTTTGCCGAATGTAGAATGGTGTTGAGGCCGTTCGCATGTTCATTAGCCGGGTAGGTTCCCTTGCTTGACTTGTCAGCAATACTCGTTCTGACATTCTGCGGGCGAGCGTCTCACGAGTTATGCGGATGGTGCCTATGCAGCACTTTCAAGCTCTGTTGGCGTTTTCACACAATGGCCGTTCAGGCCTGGACATGGTCGTGCAGGTCATCGCCCATATTTTGTCGCCCGAAGTGCCAGAGTCTGCGTGCGCCTTTGCCGGCATGATGGTGACAAGTTTGATTCTGCGCGCCGGCGACGCTCTCGGCCCAATCACAGAGCAGGTCAGTCGATCAGCGGTGGGTTTATGTGCCTACCATGTCTCACTCACAATTTTTGCGCGGTTTAGATTCTGCTGGCCACTCTGCACAAGCTGCAAAGCTCGCGCACGCTGACTGTGCAGCAGGTCTGTTGTGTGTTGCATGTGATGCGTGCCTCGCGTTGTGTCGGCATGCCCTTTTAGCTCCATATTTAACGCCACGCCTGCCACCTTGTGGTACACGCAGAGTCTTCTTCTCATTTTTGCTCGGCTAGCCAATGAGAACCTGGACACAGTCTTGCAATTCCTGCGAGCTCACCAGTGCGTTACCATCTGACTGACACGATCTTTGCTTTTGAAGGGCGTGTCGCTTGCTCACAGTATTTTGTGGTGCAGAGCGCTTGAGTTTGTCTTGCGGATGTGGGTTCAAAACCACACGGACTTTTATGGCAACTACGATACAATTGTGAGTACGGTGGCGCTCAGCAAACTTCTTATGCGCGATGACGCCGACCTTCTCTCCTGCACCGTGCAAGGCGAAGAAATCCACAAACCAGGTGAGCTTGAGCGTGTAAACGTCGATGGGAGAAGCAACCTTTTCTTTGCAAAGTTGCTTGCCTCCCTCTGTATTCTCGCCTCACGCACTTGCCTTTGCCCGCGTGCGTGGGTGTAGGCATTCAGTTGCGCTCGCGAGCGCGCAAGAGTAAGTGCCAGTCCTCCGTCCAAGCCTCCTGGCTGACCACTGAGGAGAGAAGCGCGGTCCTTACATATCTCCCCTTTTGCTGTGGCCATAGATGGTGGGCCCCAGTTTGCACAGGTGCCTCTTCTGGAGCGCGTCTTCCAGCTCCTGGTGCGCCAACACCATGATGAGACGCTCAAGCAGGCCGAGGGTGACGACGATGATGATGACGCTGAGGTTGAAGATGAGTGGGAAGATGTTGATGAACAAGGACAGTTGGCTGATGGCACTTTTGTACCAGCCGATGAAATCTTCTCCACGTCGGGTACGTTTGATGCGCGAGTCTCGTCCCGTCTCATTGCCCACCGGACCTCACTTTGCCTTGGGAGCGTCTGGTAGATATCGTGGACCTCGGCTTTGGCCAGTTTGAGGATGACTTGGATATGGATGATGATCCAGATGTCAAGGCAGACCCCCTCAGTCAGGTCAATCTCAAGGTCAGGCAGCGCACGAACCATCCTTTCTCCCCATCTGCTGCCTTGTTCTGTGCTGATACAACCCTTCTCTCCCTGCCTCCTTGGCTCTGGACGCGGGCAGGAATACCTGGAGCAAGGCTTTGTTGCCTTGCGCGACGGATCTCCGGCTCAATTTTCCCAGCTCACGGCACGCCTAACCGAGGCCGACCAGAAGTTCCTGACGGCAGCCTTCCAATAGGTCGAGCGTTGTCCCTTGCCGGTGTTTCGCTTCTTTTGCTGTCCACGACCTCTCCGTGCGCCCCTGTTGCCCCCTTGCTTCGTGCCATCAAAGGAAGATTTCGATCCTGGTCATAGTAACATTCGTTGAAATTAAATTCAGATAGCGACCTTGGACAACAGCTGCGACTCGTGCGCCGTTGCGCCGCCTATTAGAAACTCGATCCATCATCTTCGCTGAGGTGGTCGGCCAGATGGGCCACGGGTGATGATCGTTGGCCCGTGGCAAAAGGCGCTTGCACGTGCCACGCCGCATGCTCTGTCTCTTGAACGGACCAATCGCGCACGTTTGCGGGACTGACATGTCCTGTTGGTGAGTGGAGCGGGGAGCCGAGCGCACTGGCAGGATGCGGCATCGGCGTTCGAGGCGCTGGGCGTGGTTGTGGGGCAGCCGGCCACCAAGTGGCCGTCACCGGAGCTGCAACGGGTAGTTCGCCCAAGGAAAGGAGGCCCTCGCTTAGGGCAAGAGAGCTCGAGTCAGCATCAGAATGCTCCTCGCTCGTGCGAGACTCAGCCCAGGCATTTTGATGAGCTGCGGCCCAGGGCTCTTGACCCACCTGACCCTCACTCCACGCACTTTCGTCGCCCTGCGAAAGTTCAGAAAGGGCGCTACTTGATGAGGCTGATAACTGACCAGGCTCACGACTGGCCTGCGAGGAGTCGAGCTCGCTGGGTAGTGAGACCTCTCCGACCGAAAGGAGACTCATTGCCGCGTGGCCTCCAGAGACGGGCCAGGCCGCGGAGAGACCAACGGAGTGCATGCTCACGCTAGAGGGATGCGAAGCTATGCTGGTGACGTCCTCGTTTGTGATGGGGCCCACGTCCGGCGGTGGCGTCGATGCCACTGGGGCTGGCGGCGAGGTCAGCACGTCAGCGATTGACGAGGACCGGGAGGGAGATTGGATAGGATCCGTGGTCTGAGTTTCTTGGTGGGCCGCGCCGTGAGATTTAAACGGCGGCGAGTTGGGCGGCGTCGACAACGTGGCATCAGCCAAGCGGCTAATTGGCTCGGAGGCTTCGCTGATGGCTGTGCCAATCAGTTGTGGGCTTGCTGGCCCAAAGCCCACCGGTGACGAAGCTCGCACCACCAACTGCCTTGGCGACTCGGTCTGCACCTGGATGTCAGCTGTCGCGGGCCCACGGGGTACAGGCTCTGGCTGAGGCTCTGGGACAGGGGTGGCTGGGGCAACCGAGGCATCATCAGACTCGGAGGGGGTAGGGGTGACGATCCGCGATGTCGGCGCGGTGATTAGTCCATCCGCGTCCGGGGTGCTGCGCAGGGGTGTTGGGGGTGCAGGCGACTCCACGGGCAACGGAGGCGCGCGTTCGGCGCGGAGAGCAGCTGCTTCGGCACCAGCGAGCGCAACCAAGTCGTCCAACACTAGCTGCTCGATTTGCTTGGGTTGCAAGTGAGCAAGCAAAAGCGAGTTTTGGGGAGCCTCTGGAGCTGGGCTAGAACGGGGCGGTGGGGGCGGCAGGCGTGAAATGTGTGCCGCGGAGAGAGCGGCTGCCATCACGTGGTCTTCCGTCATTCGGGCCAGCTCTTGATGCCAATCCGTGCCGAGATCTGGGGGAGCAGCGGCTGTCCAGCGGGCGGCGTCGCCCAAAGCACGCCGTCCAATGGCAGCAGGCTGCCAGCTGGTGGTGGGTGGCGCTTGATAGGTCAGAGTTGGATGGACAGTGTCCGAGGACAGGGCCGCTTCAGGCATGTCTGCTCTCTCAGGCACATCCGCAGGAGGACTCGCAACTGCGGGTTCTTCGGGGGGCGGAGGCCGGAGTTGTTGAAGGATGTCGTGCAAGAGTTGGTCGTGTACCTCTGGAGCCCACGGTGCGGCGGGTGCGGCGGGTGCTGTAGGTGGACTGGCTTCAACAGGGGGCGGCGTTGCTCGGGGTGGATCGATGGGGGCGGAGGGAACGGGAGCGCGAGATTTGGGCTCTACCCTTGTGCTTGGTTGGCGGCGTGGCTTTTGTGCGCGACTTGATTCCTGAGTGGCACGTTGGCGATTTGCTTCGGCACGAAGTTGCGAGGCACGGGTCGCGCGGAAAGGGGCTGCAGTGGGGCCATGGATGCCTATTTCGTGCGGCAAGGCGCGTCGCTTCCTTGGATTGGGATTCCGAGATGGTGAAGCTTTTGGTGGGTCAGAAGGTGGGCCAGGTGGCTCCGTAGAGTGTTTGTCAGGGTGGTAAAGCTTTGTTCCTGGGCGGGGCGAAAACTTGCGTTGGGCATGAGCAATGCTGCTGCCCGTCTCACTCTCAGAGGAAGTGGGTAAGGGGAGACCAGCTTGTTCCCAATGCACTTGTGCACGAGCACGGCGCATTGCATCCATGACAGAGCGGCGAATGGCGGCTTGGTCTGTCTCCTCATCGTGAGCTGGTCCAAAGACATCCAAGAGAGCATCTTCCATATCCATCTGCGAATCAAAGAGGGCCAGGCGGGTCGAGAGCTCCTCTTGCTGCCGGCGTGCGGCAGCCAGCTGGGCCTCAGCCTCAGACACCATGCCATCCTGGCCTGGGGCTCGTCGCGGCGTTGTGTATGTGTTGGACACGGGGGGCGACTTGGATTGCGGAGCGAGGTAGCGGTCGAGAGGGGCGGGTGTGCGACGCAGAGCCCCAAACTGGTGATCAGTATGGCCACGCAATTGAGCAAGTTCATCCCGCAGACTTGCAGCCGTCTACGACAGTGATGCCACAGCAGCATTCAACAAAAACAAGGATGGGTAGAGAATTTAGCAAGAAAAAATAAAAAATAAAAAATAAAAAATAAGTAAAGCAAAACAGTGGCATGAGAGGGACGCGCAAATCAATAGGTGTTTCGGGTCCCATTCATTGCGGAACATGGACAGACCTGGACAAGGCGGTCTAAAGACGAGGAAGAAGAGGCGAAGGCAGGCGCAGAGGGGGCTGCGGTCAGGTGAGCCCGATTCTCACGGTGGCTGGAGTGGCGACAGCTCCCTCCGCGGCCGCGGCAGCGGGTTCCTGTTGCTGAGCAGCGCAGGGAGGGTGTGTGGTGGTGTGGGTGGGGTGCATGTGGGGACGACTTTGAGGCGTATTGGGGAAGTGTCGAGGCGCCCGGCTGCTGGGCATGAGTGTGGACGACGATTCCTTGGGCGAGCCGACCCTCGCTCGCTTTGAGCGATCGATCGAGCTGGCTCTGCGTCTCCTGAAGGAGCATGCGCTGTTGATCCAGGAGGCGAGTTTGTTGCTCTTGCTGTCGCTCAGACCAGTCGCGCAGGTACGTGCCCATGACCTGGGTGACCTGGTTTGAAACTTCGTTGGCCGTGTAGTGAGCAGGTGCTGCCTGCGCAGCGGTGGGTTCGCCATGGACTGCACGCTGCAACCGGCCACGGCGCGTGAGGAGCTGTTGCCGAGGTCCCATCAATGTTGAAGTCGGGGCTGCGGTGGCCTGATTCGGGCGTGCCACGACCACGTCTAATCAACAGCCGCATGATGAGCCTGATCCAGACAACCAAAGGAATCGCGAGCAACATCTCATCCCGGCAAGTTCATGTCTGCTCATCTGCTCGACCCAGCACATGCTCAGCCCGACACGCTCACCCATCACTCACCTGTCGCCATGGTCGCCGATCACAAAGAGAGAGTGAGAGAGAGAGTGTGCGAAAAAGAATGAGAGAGAGAGAGCGAGCGGAGACAGACAGACAGACAGACACACACACAAAGTGTAACTGTCAACTTTTGCTTGAAAGCGATGTGACCGTTACAAATTGGGCATTCAACAAAAGAAAACGCGCGCACACACACACACACACACACACACACACACACACACACACACACACACGAAGGCGCGGTTTTGCATTTTGTGGTGGCATCGCATCGCATCGCATCGCATCGGGCATCGAATTGGCTCGAGGGTGGAGAGACTTCATTGGGTGGAACGCGTGGGCGCGGGTATTGGTGTATCCAGCAACGACGCCTTGGTGCACCGACAACATGGGTAAGGTGGAATGATGGTGGTTGGTATCGCTATCCTGGCTCCATGGCGCCTTCTCAACCTCTATTGGCTGTGTCGGCGTGTGCTGGGTGTCAATGCAGAAGAGAGCGGTTTTTGTGCGGCCTACGAGCGGTTGCCTGCCAAGCCAGCCACATGCATCCGCTTCTTTGATCGCGGCGTGAGTTTTGGCTGTGGGATTTATGCTCCATTCGGGCACCGTCTCCGGCCCTGCGGGATTCGAGTCGGGGTTGCTCAGCCGGTTCGGTCGTGGTGCTCGATGCCGACTCACCGTAGGACTACTACACTTTGCACGGCGACGATGCTCTGTACGCGGCCAAGAACATCTTCAAATCCCAGGGCGTGCTCAAATACTACGGCGGTACGCTTGAGCAGCAGCCCAGCCGCACTCCCTCCTCGACGCCTGCCTGACGAGGGCTCACCTCGACCTTGTTTGATCTTGCTAGCCAAAAAATTGCCGTCCTGCAGCATGAACCAGATGCTCTTTGAGACGACCATCCGTGATCTGCTGTTGCAGCGCCGCTACCGCGTCGAGGTCTTCAGTAGCTCGGGCAAATCCCACCAATGGGCCGTGACCAAGAAGGTGGGCAAACCCTTCTTCGATCTTCCTCCTTCGGCCTCGTGCTAGTGCTTCGGGTGACCCTTACCGCCTCTGCTCCAGGCCTCTCCGGGCAACACCCAGGCCTTTCAGGACATTCTGTACAACAGCGATCTGGTTCAGTCATCCATCGTTCTGGCTGTCACCCTGCAAGGAAGCGGCAATGATCAGGTTTGCGCGCATCTGATTTGCAATCGCACGGTCCATTCCACAAGTTGTTCGCAGGAGGCGGGAACTGCATGCCTGCTGATTCTGTATTGCAATCACCTGGGTTCCATAGCTGGTTGGCGTTGCATTTTGTGACACTGCCCAGGCCAGCTTTGGAGTGTGCCAATTTCCTGACACTGCCCAGTTCAACAACTTTGAGGCTCTTTTGGTGCAGGTTGGGCCAAAGGAAGTCTTGTTGCCGTCAGAGCAAAACAACCCTCTGATTACCAAGGTATGTTCACCCCTTTTGATCTCCTTGCTGGTCCATGTCGTTACCAAACGCATGCCACGCACCTAGCCTGACTATACGCCATGTGAATTCATTCAATGAATAGTTGTCCCAGATCTCCGAGCGCTATGGCGCCATGGTGACACCACGACGCAAGGCTGATTACCAGGCCAAGTATGCCCCTTACTGCGACTGCCTAACATCAGCGTTTGCTCTTTTTTTTTTTTTTTTTTTTTTTTTTTTTTGTCTTGTTTTGTTTCACATCTCGAGTGCTCATTGTCTGCACGGCCTCTGTGCATCGCCCCCGTAGAGATGTGGTGCAAGACTTGGAGCGCTTGTTGAAACTCGCGCAGGACCAAAAAGCGGCTGCCCTGCCGCAGGTGGACGAAAAGGCTGCCATGGCTGCCTTGTGCTGCGTCATCCACTATCTGGATCTTCTCGCCGATGACGCCAACACAAACAAGTTTCGTCTCAGTACCTTCAACTTTACCCAGGTATGCTCCCCACTTTCGTCATGGCCGGTCATGCACTCTTGCTACTCCGGTTCATTCAAGCGTCACGTAATTTCACTCCGCTGTGATTTCTATTGGACTTGCATCTCGTCGATCACCGGGTCAAAAAACAAAAAACAACAACAACAACAACATGCGATGTGGGCTTTGGTGCAGTACATGCGATTGGACAGCGCAGCCATGCGTGCTTTGAATGTCTTTCCGGCCGGTCCCCACAGCACAAAGTCACACTCACTCTTTGGACTTCTCAATCACTGCAAGACGCTCCAGGGACAGCGTCTGCTATACCAGTGGTTGAAGCAACCCCTCCTTGACGTCAATCGCATCCGTGAGCGCCACGACTTGGTTGAGTGCTTTATTGAAGCCGATGATCTCAAGCAAAACTTGGCAAGTTCCCATGATCCGCTGCGCAGACTACGGTCGAGGCAGTTCAAAGCCAACCTGCAGGGCAAAGGACAACGACCTGTTTTGTTCCTGCCATTTTGCGACGCCGGCACTGATCGCTGGCCGAGTCTCATGGCACGTGCTCCCCCGTCGGGCTTTCACACATAGGAAACTGCTTTGAAGAAGATGCCAGATCTCAGCCGACTGTCCAAGAAGTTTGCTCGCCAACGGGCTCGCCTGCAAGACGTGGTGTCTGTCTACATGGCCGTCAAGCGCTTGTGCGTCGATGTTGCGTTGAGCGCACCTGGCATGCATCTACGCGTGATCTGCAATCTCACCACCCCCCCTGCCCGCTGTCCTTCTCGATGCAGGCCTGATTTGATTGAGCACCTCCAGGATTTTGAAGGCACCCATGCCACCCTCTTGCACAAACAATTTTTGGAGGATTTTACTACTCTGTTCGAGGTGAGTCTCAGTCGCAACGAGAATTTCAAGACAAGGGTCGGAGGTAGAACGTCACTTGGTCTGCGCGTGGGCCCCACTCACGGGCGTATCTCCACGTCGCGGTGTTAGGACTTTGAAAAATACCTCGAGTTGGTTGAGCGCACGATTGATCTGGAGCAAGCCGACCATCAAAATTACTTTATCAAACCAACGTTCAATGAAGACATGCAGAAGACCCGCGAGGCCATCGATACGATTGAAGAGGAAATCACCTCGGCCTGCGAAGAGGCAGCAGAGGACCTAAACCTCGAGTATGGCAAGAGCCTCAAGTGTGAGCAAGACGCGAAGAGCAAGCAGTATCTCTTTCGCGTCACACGGGCATATGATAAGGTGAGTCTCGTCACCTTGTCGAGCTGCCTCGCATCAGTCATCTGCCATGTTCCTGGTCGAGGGCCGCAGCTCATCCCTGGGTGAACATGACAGCTGCTGCGTAACAACAAGGCCTACACCACCATTGAAACGCAAAAGAACGGGATTAAGTTTACAAACAAGCGCCTGTCGCGTCTCAACGAAGGTGAGGGCCGTCACCCCAAGCAGGATGAGCTGCCAGAACATTTTTCGCTGACCGAGGGGTTTTTGTTTCTTTTCTTGGGACATCAGCCCGGCAAGCACAACATGACCGCTACGCAGAAATTCAGGCCGAGGTGGCCGCTAAAGTGATTGGTACGCGCCTTCTCATTGGGAAGCCTGCACCCAAACCTCGTCAACCGTTTCTTTTTCGCTGCAACGCGGCTCCCGCTGACTTGGTGATGTCCGTGCGGGCTTGCAGGCATTGCATCCGGCTACGAGGAACCCATGGAAGAGCTGAATGCCGTCATCGCAGTTTTGGTGCGTGTCAGCTAAACTCTCATTTTGTGCCTGATGCAGTGTCCTGAGGACAGGCAGCCATTAACATCACGTCCACCGCTGCGGTTCATGCTTCAGGACGTCTTCTTGTCTTTGGCCACCGCCTCGCTGCGGGCTCCCGTACCTTATGTGCGCCCCGTCATGCATGCCATGGGTAAGTGCGTCGGCAGGGTGTGCGTGCACCCGAGCCACACTTGCGGCGAAGGCGGGTGCTCTTAATTTCCCTTTTCGCGGTCTCTGTTTCTCTCTTTTCTAACCTCAAATGGGACTCATTTGATTTGACGTGCAGGGGAAGGCAACATCACCTTGAAGGCCTGCCGCCATCCCTGCCTGGAGGTGCAAGACGAATTGGCATTCATCCCCAATGACGTGGACTTGCGTCGAGAGGACGGCGAGTTTCAAATCATCACCGGGCCCAACATGGGCGGTAAATCGACCTACATTCGACAGGTTTGGCCACGTTGCTCAGTTTTGTTTGGCAAATAGCTCGTCGAGCCGAACGGCAGATGATCATTTCGGCTTTGCACTTTTTCTTGCGCGCTCGTAGATTGGCATGGCAGTCTTGATGGCACAGATTGGCTGCTTTGTTCCAGCAAACACGGCCGAGATTGCGGTGGTGGATGCCGTTCTGGCCCGCGTGGGTGCTGGCGACAGTCAGCTCAAGGCAAGTTGGCAACTTGGCCAAGGAGCAGGCATGGCCTGTCTGCCTAGCTTCACGCAATGAGTGACAGCGCAGGCTGCGGCAAGGCTCAATCGCGTCTGCGCTCGAAATCTAATGTCAATTTGGGGACTTGGATGTCTGTTTAGGGCATCTCAACATTTATGGCAGAGATGCTGGAAACTGCAAGCATTTTGTCAGCCGCGAGCCGTAACTCACTCATTATCGTGGACGAGCTGGGCCGTGGCACATCCACTTACGATGGCTTTGGGCTAGCCTGGGCTATTTCAGAGTACGTCCTGGCGCTCCTTTTACAGCATACTGGTTTGACCATCGGATGGTGCTGAGTTGACGAGTGCGTGACGACATGCGGGGGTTGTAGGCACATTGCCAAGACCATTGGGGCGTTTTGCCTTTTTGCGACGCACTTCCACGAGCTGACGGCACTCGCAGACGAATTGCCAAGCGTTGTCAATCTACATGTGGATGCTTTGACTTCCAACAACGAGCTCACGCTGCTTTACAAAGTCAAACCAGGTGCGTGTCTTCTCTTTTTTTTTTTTTTTTTTTTTTTTTTTTTGTTTGAGATTGGGCCTGTGTGCGAGCCGAGCAAGAGAAGTACATTTTTCACGCGATTCACTGGCACGTGTGTGTGTGTGTGTGTGGCTTCTAGGTGTCTGTGATCAATCTTTTGGCATTCATGTGGCTGAAATGGTGCACTTTCCAGCCGCTGTGATTGAGGTATGAAAGGGCATACATGGCCCGCCCCGAGTCCATGGCTCCTCTGCACACGGCGGCGTTGGAAATCCGAGGTTTTTTCATTCATTGGCTCACGACCCACGGACGTGCAGGACGCCAAACGCAAGGCAGCTGAGCTGGAAGACTTTGAAAACACGGGCGAACTTGGGTCAACGCCAGACAAAAAGGCCAAGCTGGAGCAGCGAGAGGGGGAGCAGTTGCTCTCAACATTCGTAGACCAAGTGCGCAGCATTCAGGCGGAAGGCTTGACACCTGAACAAGCCTTTGAAAAGGTGGCGGCTCTACGAGACAAGCTGGCGGCCCACAACAACGCCTATGTGCGCCAACGGCTGGGTGTTCGGGACTAGGCAGCTGGTCTGATTTGGTCTTGTGTTTAAGCAGGTTTACCCTGTGCTCCTGCTGTGTTTTGCCTTGGGGTGGTCCAAAATTATACATCGAATGTCCAATACACCCGTCTTGACACCATCGCCTGCGGCAGGCTTGATCCCGCTGCTACGCCCGGCCAACCCGTGCTGACATTGGATGTCAGATACGGACGCTGACAATTCATGCTGACAATATTGCGGCAAGTTGTGCCCGGCGAGTTGTGATTTCGGTCAGCGCTCGGTCACACTTGCATGTCAGTCCCACAGCTTAGCAGGCTTGACATTACCACACCTGAAAGTATCCCATGCGCCCTCTGGCACATGTCCGCAGTTTGAAATGGCAGCCCGCACCACACCTTGGTGACATCCCGCACCACAACCACACACACACACACACACACACACACACACACACACACACACACACACACACACACACACACACACACACAGGGAGGAAAGTGCGTGTGGTAGCGCACAACCGGAGGAAGAGGGCGTACGTGGATCGAGATTTTATTTTGGTCTGAGAGAGGGCCATCCCTCCGACGACCGTACACACATCTCTTGGTCTCCTTGTTGCAGTCCCTAACCCAGCACCCTCACTTCCTCTTCCCTGTCCCGTTGCTTCCGCGCCCCCACTGACTCACATGATCAAGGTCAGTGCCAGTGACCCCATCAATTCTTGACAGCGCCTTGCCGCAGGCTTTTGAGGCGGGCACTGACAATCTGGCCATCGTGCCTCCCTCCATTGTCGCCGGCACGTGCAGGGAGTGCAAGTACATGTACAGCATCAAGATGTTGCTTCATGGGCTGGTTGTCGTGCTCGTGGGCGCAGCGCTTGCTAGCGCCCTGACTGATGCCCAGCTCAATGCATCGGCTGCCCAACGCCCCCTCGTCTATACTCAAGGCGATGACCTGCACTGGGTCGCCTCAGCCATGCAGGTCAGTCGCATCCGAAAAGCTGACGTCCATAAGAGCCAAGTCCTCAACGGCTTACCTTCTCAGCTGATGCTAGCTTTCGTTCACCCTCTCGTTCAAAACTTGCTGGCTTGTGCCAAATCATGCTTCTCGGTCATAGTGGCAAACTGCCGGCACACTCTTGCAACTGACCACGGAATCTGTAGCTGGGGAAGCCACGACATTTGATTTGAGGGGCAGACTTGCTGCTGAAGCTCGCGATTCTGTCCAGATCGGCAGCACTGCCACGGGCATTCACCTTTCTGGAGGCTCTGCTCATCTAGAAGCGGAGACCGCCATCTCGCTGAGCAGCAGCCACCCCGATGGCATCTCTTTGGCAGGCAACACCAGCATCATTTTAAACACTCCCAAGGACCTATCTCTACGAACCGATGGCAACCTGACGCTGACTGTCTCAGATCTGGCCAATGTCGAGGCCGCTCGCATAGCTCTCACTGCCCAAAGCTTTTCCCTGGGGTCGACCGCCACAGGCACGGGTGGCAGTTTTATTGGTGATGTTCGTGGCAACGTGGTGGCAGCTGGCAACCTCGTGGCCATCGGCAGTCCCGCAACTGCCAACACGACCCTGACGGGCAACGTCGTGGAAATGGTTGGTGATAACGCCAACAAGCGGATTCGAGTGTCCAGTCAAGCGGTCACATTGCAATCCAACTCTGGCATCACCCTCCGTGCCGGTGAAGCCGTCATGAACGTTGATATTGCTGCTGACGTGAGTGCCATGTTCGCGCCCACCTCTTTTGTTATCGGGTGATTGTATGCACTTGGCCACATCCCATCATCACAATCACGGTTGAATATAACCGCACACATTACCCGACCCCTGCTCACTCTTAAGGTTTGTTGAATATCCGCAACAAATGTAGATGGTGGCAAATCTATTAGTGCACATTGCTAGCCTCAAAGCTGAATTTGAGAGCGTAAGCAGCAGCTTTGAAACGTTAACTGGCAAGCAATCTCAGGAAACAAGCCTGCTGAACACGGATATCGTCCAGATCTCTCAGCAAGCTTCACAGGAGGCTTCACAAGTCGACGTCCAGTTGCAGCTCGTCGCCAGCCAGATCGAATCTCTTGAGGCTAAAGCCACGACCGAGGTGGATGCTCTGGTCCTCACCCTGGGTGCAGACGTCAGTGCTGCCGATGCAGCCCTCCAAGTTTTGGAAGCAGAGCGCACAGCTCTGAGTCTCGAGGTCAACACCGAGGCCGAAGCGCTGGCAACCAAGCTCAGCCAGCTGGAGACGAACAGTGATGCTCCACTTGAGCAGCTCGTCGAGGTACCAACCCGGCCTTGCCTGTTGACGGGGCTTGAGGGATTGTGTAGCGCCTTGCCCTCACCAACCGCGGCGGCCTCTGTTCTGCTTCATAGGCAGCATCAAGCCTCTCCACTAGCGCTGAGGCCTTGGCCGCTTCCTTGGAATCCAGCCTCAGTGCCATCTTGGTGGGCCAAAACCCAAGCATCAGCCGTTTGGAGTCACAGCTTGCGGCTCAAGGCGGCTTTGATGGTGTAATGGAAGCTCAACTGGACTCGATCGAGGCACTTTTGGATCAGCAATTGGAGCTGGCAGAAGATTCTCTGGCTGACCTGCGTTTGTCCAACATTGATACTCATCCGTCTGCCATTCTGGGTCAAGCGCAGAGCCTCCTGCGCTCCGTCTCTCAGGTTTGTTGTGCATGGCCTCCGATATGAACGCGCAAAAGTAGCGCAACCAGTCACAGCTGGTGGACTGCGCCTTGGTCTTTGTACCCTTACAAATTAAGTTGCACCTGTCTCGCCCCGTAGCAAGAGTCGCGCGTGGCCGAAATGGACATTTTCTCGGGCGCTCAGCTCAAGACGCTTTCGGTAAGGGCAGGCTTTGCAAGGACACTGTGTTCTCTGCTTCAGCTCGCTGAATACAGACCCCACCTCTGGACCGCATTTGCAGACACACATTAGCACCCAAGAGGATAGCATCAATGACTTCAAAGAGACTTTCCCCAAGCTTATCCCTGTGACCCAACGCCTGGGATGGGCCGCCAGCCACACGCCCGTTGCCAGCGGATACTTTGGTACGTCTTGGCAAAGCCGATGGGGGGTGCGTCGCATGGCATAGGGCACTTGTAATAACAAGCCTCAATGGTCACACATAATACCGGGCGTGTCTTATTAGCTGCGCAGTGCGCAACTCACGGCAGCTTTATGGCATGTGGGACCTACGCTCAAACGGGCACTTATCGCGGCCAAGTCTCGGTGCGTCCGAGACCCATAAGTCTTTCGCGATGAACCCAGCATACCCCGCGGCCCCGCTTTAGAACCTCATTCAAGCTGTTGCCTTTGGCTTAACATTGCCACCAGATGTTTCACATCAATGAGAAAACCGCCAAGGTGACGTGGATACAAGATCTGCGCTTGGCAAGTGGGGGCAGTGTCCACACCACTCCACACACAAACGCATACTTTGGCACGGCCGTGGACATGAATGATAAATACATCGCCGTGGGCGCTCCCGGTGATTACGGCGTGTCATTGAGGGAGGCTTATGTGGGCCGCGTTTACATTTTTGCTTACTCGAAGAAAACTGGCGAGATTCAGTATGTCTCTCCTCATGCCTGTGCAGGAAGATAAACTGCCAAGTTGAATCAGCTTGCTTGATGTCTCACCTTTCCTCTGAAACTTTGAAAGGACGACGCCCGTCAGCGTGGTGGGTGGAGTTTCCCCCATTGCCAACGCGCGTTGTGGTCACGGTGTCAAATTCCTGGCCAACCATCTTCTGACCATACTTTGCTCCAACGACAGAATCACTTCATATGGCGGGTCAGTGAGCGTACCGCGAGTCAGAGTTGCTGCGTGCTTGTTGCGCAACAGCCAGCCATCGACCTGACACTGATTCTTGATGTTTGTGCAGCACCATCAACGTCTACTCGTACGCCCTCACTGGCCAATCACTGACTTTTACTGCAATTGGGCGCTCTGAACCCGGGACCATCGATGTAAGACTGTCCATGCACCCATTGCGTGTATAATATTTGTTGGTGTGGTGACTCAGGAAGTGTTGAGGAACGGCGGCTTACGCTTGATGATGCCTATGCTCATGCTCCACACCGACAACTTGCTGTGTTTGCCCTTGAGCAGTCATCTGAATATCTCGGAACTGCGGGCGGGTCGCTCATTATCAACCGCGGGTTCAGTGCGGCCAAAAACTTTATCGCGGCGGGAACATCGTACGCCGATACATATCAGGTTGGCCATTAGGCGGTGCCTGTTTTGTTGTCGGCTCAATGAATGTCTGTGACACCAAACTTGGCAATGCACGCTCATCTTTGAATTCGTGGCCATCGTGTGTCACAGACCAACAATGGCATTGCTTATCTTTGGGCAGTGCGAAACAATGTAGTCAACTTCTTGTACACAATCCCCTCACCCTGCACTACTTCCTACTCGTGAGTTACTGGGACTGCAAGCAATTGCGTATCATCCATGGGTCGGGGTTTGGGAGGGGATATCGCCTTCACTGAACCGGTTGCATGCCTTTTGCCACCACTGGCGGAAGCCTTACCCAATTGCTGTTGCCTCTGCTACCCGTTTCCAGAAGCTGCTTTTTTGGCTATGCAGTCGCGCTCTCTCCAAACGCCCGTGTCCTCGTCATCAGCGCACCGCAAGCGTATGCGGTACGTTCAGTCAGGTCAAACGGGGCACAGGCCCATGGTGGCTTTCATGCCTGCACACTTTATCCAACTGTCACCCTGCTACGGCCACTTTGTCGCAGGAGTCGGTGACCTATTCAGGCATCGTCTACGTGTATCACATCAACCCGGAGACGGCAACAATGAGCACGACCACATATACCGAGGTGTGGATTTGCTGAGGCTCGTTCACTGGCAAGCACAGGCATGTAGAAGCCTCTACGGCAGCTACGGAGCTCATTTTTCACTTGGTGACTGCTCGTTGTACGATCACAGATAACGTCGCCCACCGTGACCAGCTCGGGCTTGTTTGGGAGCAATGTGGCTATGAGCGAGACCTGGCTGGTCGTTTCAGCCCATGGTTCGCTCTCCCTCTGTCTCTGTCTTCTGTCTCTCTTTTCTTTTTTCGATAGCATGACTGTTGGCAACGTGGGTGATAGCCTAGCTTACACATTCACGGTGCCGATGTAGGCGAGAATGGCAACATTGGACGCGTGTACTTTTACCGTTCTAGCTATGAGGGTGGCACATTCTTCCTCTCCTCTACCTGGAACCCACCTGCAGCAAGCACGGTTGCGCGTATGTCATGTGTCCATAACCCATATATGCTTGCCGTCAGTGCTTTTGCTGGATTCGCCTTGTTCATGCTGCATGTTGCCCCGGTCATGTTGCTGAGTTAGCCATTTATCCCACGCCGTTTTATGTCGGTCATGGCGCGCTGATTCGAACGAACACCACCACCGTTATTGGTGCTGCCTATACGTCACCTCAATCACGTAAGCAGCGTTGTGCACAGTTGGCGGTTGGGCTTGAGGTCCGCTGGCTGCATACCTTGAAAGCCGGGCCTCACAGGCATGACGCCCTCATTAGTGACATATGCCGGAAGCGTTTACGTTCTCAAAGACAAGAATTTCTACCCGGTGGTTTCATTGAATGACGACGATGACTTGGCCGCGTGAGCCAACATGCTCCCTTCTCCACTTGCTAGTGTTTTTGCTTGCTTGCCCCCCACCTGGCACGCTGCGGGCTCTCCCTTGGCGACCAGAATGAACAAAGGCAATGCAGTGAAAGTGGCCGGCAGTACCATGTGCTTCTTAGCAGAAGTGGACCGGAATCGCTTTGACTTCAATTTACTTTAGCTTGCTTTACAGCATATTTGGCACATTGGAATGAGCCCTGTATAGGATTACGCAAATCGAGTGATGTGCTTTGTTAGAGTCGAGGTGGGAAGAACGGTCATGATGACCTCTTGATCACCCACATTGTAGCCCAAAATCAAGTGTGTGGCGTTGAGTTGGAACAGAGAGTGCATGTAAACACGGGATGAGTCGCTCTCCTGGGGTAGCCGAAGTTTTTGCCGGGCCATCCCCAAGACACGAAACGGCGGCACGACTTCCACAATATAGGGGAGGGGGACATAGTAGCCAAAGGAAGAAGTGCGGCCGTGCAAGATGCCAACGTGTTCAGTAGGCGAGAGAGGCACCGTGTTGGTGGCCAGGTGAAAGCTCTGCCAAGGAGGAAAAAGCGTGAAAAAGAAAAACAAAATAAAAAGAGAAAAAACAAACAAACCGGGTTTCCAGCGCGCATGTGGCATGAATGTGGGAGCCGCACGAGCCTGTGGACGGATGGCGGTGAACAGCTTGGGTCTACCAACCTCAATTTTGACAGCACGCTTGACGTCTGCAAGGATGTGCTGACTCTCGAAGGTAGCCACCTCGTGGCATACTCCAGTTTGAAGCTGGCAGCCCATGACCTGCATGCAAAAGTGCAGCCAATGACAAGAGGATGAGCTGGTCTCAGCATCAGGCGGGCAGTGAGCGGGCGAGGTGCATCTGATTGGGTTGCTTGGGTACCTGGTGCGGCTCGATGAAGCGGCTGAAGAGCATTTCATTGGCCTTGGTGTCGAAGCGCAGGGGCGACCAGTTCTTCTCCGTTTTGGTGGTTCCGCTGTACACAAGGTCTACCGGCTCGAGTAATCTTGGGTACACCTGCTGGACCTTCATGATCCTAAGAAGTGACAAAGACACGAGGCAAGAATGTTTGGTAGTGAGCCAGAAGACAGTCAAGACCGAACAAGTTTGCGAGTGGGAAGTAGGCGCAAAGCCGGCCCAGGGAGGAAGAGCGTTCTCTGCATAATGGGTGACCGAGTGCTAGTGTCGAGCAGACGGATAGTTCTGTGACTCGGACCAACCGTCGGACATCCAAGGGCGGTGGTTTGGGATTCCGGGGCGGGGCATTGTAAGTGAGAAAAGCGCGGTCTCCGACGACAAAGCTGCGCTGATCTTCGGGTCCGTAGATTTTCCATTTTGGGTAGTGGGCAAAGCTCCAGGAGAGATTATAGGGAAGAACGGAGAGTGATTCACTAAGGACAACACCGAGCATGTGAGGTGGGCCAAGGCACGGGCAGCAGGGCTAGCGGCGGGGATTTGAGGTTCATCCGGTCCGTACATGCAGCGGAGCTCGGCATCGAGGCGACAGGTGGTGATGAAGGACATGCCGTTTAAATCCTGGCGTGGGCATGGGGTGGAGGAATGAAGATCGTAGAGCGGACAGCGTTGAAAGGTGTTGCTGCCATTGTTGCCCAGAAAGCGAGCAAAGAGGCGAAGCTCGAGCATGCCGTCTGGGGCCGAGGGCGTGACCACAAAGGTGGGGTTGAAGAGCCGATGGGTGGCTGCAAAATTGATGGTCATGGGTAGGTCGACGTCCTCGAGCGCAAACTTTCGGTAGCTGCTCTGCAGCTCAACCTGGTGCCGCCACGTAGAGGGTACCATGGGATCACCCCTGGACATGCCTGGCAGTGTGCGGCGGCGCGGCAGCGGCAGCGGCGCGGATGCAGTGGGCGGTGCCATGTGTTTTGTGGGCTCGGGCAATCGCGCCTGGGGCCGGGCTGACGGCGGTGTATGGCGTTGTGTCCGCACGGTAGTTGGCGGGACCACGGTTGCTGCCGCAGATGCTGTTGTTGTTGGTGCAGGCTTGGCCGTCGTGGTATGCGTGGTTGCAGCCGCGCTGGTTATTGGCGTGGCCACATTCTTTCGTTGGGCGCTGCTGTGGGCCGGTTGAGCCAGCTCCACCTGTACTGCCTGCTGGGCTTGCTGAGTCTGCTCGGCTTGCTGGACCAGGGAAGACGACCAAGCAAAGGCACGCCTGTACCACGGATCAGTGGCCACCGACCAATTGGCTTGCTGCCGCTGCTGCTGCACCACCAGGGACACCAGCACGAGCCCCACCAGGGCCAAGCTCAACGCCCACACCCCGCGCCGCATCCTCACCCGTTACCGTCTGTCCGGTCCAGCCCCTCAAGACCACAACCCCTGCCCCACTCAATCCCCCCAAGCACAGCGCCAACCCAACCATCAGTGGGCACTCCCCCACACCGCCTCCTCCACCCGCCTCAAACCATCAGAGCTCCTCCCTATCAATCACAACACCGAGGGGCTGCTCCTCCCGCTGGCGGGCATCACGTCCGTCGTCAGTTCCGCCCGTCCGCCCCAGCCGCTAAAATTATCTGACATTATTTCCTCTGTTGTATACATGTACGTTTTGTTGTGTGTGTGTGTGTGTGTGTGTGTGTGTCTTCTTTTAGAGTATACATAAGTAAGACAAAAATTACACTTTAACATTCCTTCGTGTGTATGTGTGTGTGTTTGTCTTGTATTATCTTCACTAACAGCTTATGATCAATCACAAACTAGTGTTCCATCCCGTAACAAAACTGCAAAAACTACTATATCTTCTACACAAACCCAAGCATGCCGCCGGTGCAAATGGTGTATAGTGTGACCAGCGTCACAGTTTCACAGGCGTCAGTCATCATGGAGGGCACACGTACGAAAATCTGGAGCAGCCGTCATCGTGCGATCGGGCTGCTGGGGCTTGCGCTTGGGGTGTTGGCCGTGTTGGGTCAAACGGCAGCCGCGGCTGATGAGGCTCGGTACGTGTGGGTGGGGGTGATTGGTGAGGGGGAACAGGCGGGCGAATGTTCGTTTCTCCTTCCCCGTGCGGGCGTGTTGCATACGTTTGTATGGCAAAGGAAAAGGTGTTCATGACGGCGGTTGACGTGCGATGGCTGTTGTGACTGACCGTTGTCCCCTTCCTCCCCCCGCCTCTTCTTTTCCGTCCTTGCGTCGCGTCGTTCCGGATCCTACAGATTCCTCGAAACACACTTTGATGGATCGGTGAGGGGAAGGGCCTGCTCCGCTGGATTCGTGCCCTGACTACAAGTCATGCCAATCTCCATGCCTTCTTCGATTGCACCCCTTGCTAAACGCTTTTTGCTCATGGTTGTTCGCATCTTCGCTTGTCCAGAATCTAGCCAATGCCCCGGCCACTGGCCTCACAGAAGACTCGGTCAACGTCTCAGCTTGTTTGCATGCCCTCGAGAAGCCTGATGTAAGGCATGGCAAGACCCTTGACCTCCTCGTGTCATGGCGCACCTGCCTTCCTGATGGATTGTCTCGCCTCATGTCTGCGTGCGCACCGAAAACTAGAATTGGTACAGCATCCTGGCTGGCTCGGGCCTCATCTTCAATTCGATGGGCGACTACGATGCTTGCACGCGCAATCATTCAGTGATCGTGCATGGCGAACCCATCAGCCCCTATCTCATGCAGTTTCAGCCCATGCGCTACTGCGTTTGGGATGGCTTCGGCCATGACATCACCATGGGCTGGTGCGTGCCCGAGGTCTGCACGCAGGAGACTCTCCAGGCCATTCTTGACATGAACGCATCGGGTCCGCCCGCCCTTCTTGCCAGTGGCCCTGCCTCCACCGTGCGCCAGCGACTGGCCGCCGAGTCTGAGCATCCCCTCGGCCTCGTGTACTGCGGCAGCCATGCCCGCACCGTTGTGGACGCAGGCGCCGCCGTAATGATGGTCATCATCTTCTTGATCGTGGTCCTCGCCAGCTCCCAGTGCTATCTTGAGCACCGCACGCTCAGCAACCTCAGTGAGGAAGAACGTGCCTTCTTCTCCAAGGATGGCGTCTACGAGAACATCGAGCAGCCCTTGGCCATCAATTCGGATGGATCCAAGGCCATTCAAGTCGCCCGTGCGTCTTTTCCTGCTTCCCGTGCGTCTTTTCTCACCATCCTCCCTTCTGCTTCCTTTGTTTCTCTCTGCTCGAGACAGAGGCGAAGGGGGGCGTCAAGGGTGGGGAGGTATTTTTCTTTACCATGGGCATACACGAAAGTCTCACCATTCCCGAACCCCTTCTCTCTGATTGCACTCTCCTTCCAGGTGCGCGCCGACAAGGCCCCTTGGCCTTTGTCCTCAAGTGCTGGAGTTTCCGTAGCAACATTTCCGAGCTGCTAACTACGAGCCCCAAACGCACCCTGCGTTGCTTGGACGGCTTGCGTGCCATCTCCATGTTTATGATCATTTTGGGCCACACCTACAACTTTCAGCTCCCAGGCTTTGTTGGGTTTGCCAACGCCGAGATTCTGACCCATGAACTCACCTATTGGCCCATGCAATTTGTGGCCGCCGCAGCTTTTGCAGTGGACACTTTCTTCTTCCTCAGCGGCATGCTTACCGCCTACGTGCTCGTCAAGAAGATTGACAAGGGCGCGCGTGCCCCACCATTCTTTCTCAGCGTCGTCCTGCGCTACCTCCGTCTCACCCCACTCCTGGCCTTTGTCGTTGGCTGCTACGCCACTCTTTACAAATACATGGGCAAGGGGCCTCTGTGGTACCGGTAAGCGCTTCCTGTGCTCTGCTGATTCGCTCTTTCCTGCCACGTGCATCTGTGCCCCGTCTACTATATCGGCAACTTGGGCCCTGACTCTGGTTGTGGTACCGACACTATCACTCCTTTGCAGTTTTTTGGAAGAGCTGGACAACTGCAAGGATAACTGGTGGACTCACCTGGTGTACATTAACAACTTTGTGCCTACCGACTTTCACAAACAGTGCCTGCCATGGGCTTGGTACCTGGCTGATGATTTTCAGTACTTCATCCTGGGCATGCTCATCATTTGGCTCTACTCCAAGTCTCGCGTCGCTGCGTACCTGGTCTCGGGGTTGATGGTTGTCTGCGGTATTGTTTCCATTGCCGTCATCAGCTTCCGCTACAACATTGAGATGAACAATCGTCAGAACATGAGCCAAAACTACATTTACGACAAGCCGTACACCCGTGCGACCGCGTACGGCATTGGTCTGCTGTCTGCTTTTTACATCTCGCGCCAGATGGAGCAGCTGAAGGCCATGAGCAACTGGGTTGGCCACGTCATCACGTATGTGTGCGTCGCGCTCATATGCGTGGTCGTGTTCCTCCCGGCCAACTTCAATTACGACAAGACCAACCCAAACTGGACCCCCAACGAACAATTTGCGTACCTCAGCGTCTCCCGCCCCATATTTACTCTGGCCGTGGCCGGTCTAGTTCTGATGTGCTCCACCGGGCACGGCTCGCTGATGAACTGGCTCTTGACCTTTCCGTTCTGGGAAGTCTTTGCCAAACTGACGTTTGGCGCTTATTTGATTCATCCCACCCTCATCCGCGTCGTGTACTACCAACGCGTTCAGCTTTTCTACTATGATCACGTTGAGCCCAACATCTTTTACGTTGCCTTCTTAACGTCCTCCTACTTTTTGGCCGTGGGTCTCTACGTCTTCGTTGAACAACCTGCTGCCAACTTGACAAAGGCCCTTGTGTCCCGGAAGCGGTAAAACGTGCAAGCTCATAGCGTGGTGGCTGCATCAGCTTGCTTTGTTGTTCTTGTCTTTTCTTTCTCTCTCTTTTTTTCCCCACGTGTCAAGGATGCGTTTGTTCTTTCTTTGTGTTTCATTTCCCGTTGTTTCGTGCATCTTTTTGAGTTTTTTTTTTCCTCTCTCTCCTTTCTTTCCGCGCTCATCTCCCGCCTTTGCATCCTTGATTGTAAGGTGGCTTATCTAGGTCCCACCCTTGTGAATGGTCGTCCGATGTGGGACACGTTTGTTTCTTCCTTTAGTCAATTGATGAGCAGCAGAGCCACTCACCTTCTGATGGAAACCCTTGCGTCGGCATCGCGAGATGATGCTTGAAACATAAGAGACATATGAAAACCAAGCCATGGCTCGGCCATGACGCTTGGGGCAACAGCAAACAACAATGTTTGCAAACACGACGTATGCGCATGATAAACTTGAAATAGATCGTGACGGTGGGAGTATTCGACAATGCTGCCCGTCACACGCACGTGTGACCTCTTGCGCGACAACCGTTGCAGGCAAGCAGCGAGCCAGAGATTCAGGCACCGGCAAAGGGATCACCGCTTTGACCGAGCAGCAGGCGCAGGCGGGTTGACCAGGTCAAAGCGCGCTTTGCCGTCCACTTCACCCGTGCATTGCACCTCGATGGCAGCACCTGCGGCGGGAAGGGCATGACCATTGAAGCGCGATTTGTGTACAAAAGCCGTGTTGCGAATGTCCTTGCGATCAGGCTGGATCACGACGCCAAAGGCCAGACGCTCAGCCACTCGGCCCGTGTACACAGCGCCCTCCTCAAAGTCAGCTGGCGGCTGGGGCTTGGGTGTCTGGGGCTTGGGTGGTTGGGAGCGCTTGTGCTCAGATGGACCTGCATTCCCCGCTTCCACGTCCTCGCCATTCAGAATACGATCAATTAATGCCTTGGCAGCATCAATGTCATCACGGCGATTGGCGGTGATGGTGTATGTCCCATCATTGACCGTCAGACTGGGGCAAAAGAGCAATATGAAACGCGTTGGTGAGTTTGAAAAAGCTTGTGTGCACACACACGACCAGAGACCGGATACAAGAAGAAGAAATTAACGCAACGAGTGCGCACCCCGCAACGGCTACAAACCTGACGCCAGTACGGTTGCGAATCATCTGTGCTGTCTTGCCCCCAGTCCCAATGAGCATGCCAGCCAGTGACTTTCGGATGGGAAAGGTGCCTTGGATAAAGATTGACCAATTCACAAACAAAAGTCTCTTGATGAGTAGACGTGTTCTAGAAGCGGTTGAAATGCATCAGGTGCGGAAGACGACTCACATGTCATCGGGTGACAGGCCTTGGGATCAGTGCGCGTGGCTGGCATGGCCGCGTTCATTTCTTTGAGCACAACCTGCTTGCCGTCAAATGTCTATCGTGGGCAGCAACAAATGAGAGCTCGCCAAGAGTAGGGTGCAGGGCAGGGCAGGGCTCAACGTACACGCTGCATGGCTTCCTCCAACACGTCCAAGGAAATACCGCGCAGCTCCGTATCAAACTGTATCCAGCAAGCAGCCACGTGCGGGCCGAATGGCAAGCATGCAGACATGCACTTGGGTGAGCTTCGCAACAAAAGCAATGCCATGAAAAAAAAAAAAAAAAAAAAAAAAAAAAAAAAAAAGAAGAAGAAGAAGAAGAAGAGCTTGACTTCACCTGAATCGCGTTGACACCGGATTGGGTGCTGGCCATTTTCAGATCCATCGCTCCATAGATGTCCTGTCAATTTTAGGCATAGCCAGATGATGGGGCAATGAAGATTCAACGGTGCGCAAGCACTCAAAAGAACATGCTGCAGCAATCGCTTGTAGGTGAGGGTCGAGAGCAAGATTGCTGGACACATACCTCAAAGCCCTTGAGATCAGTCAAGAGTTGGTATTTTGTGAGCTGCCCCTCTTCGTCCGTGTATCCCACAAGTCCACACGAGAGACCAGCAACTGGCGCGCGCAGCGGGACGCCTAATCACAGGCCAGGACCGAGCAGATTGGTGCAGAGGATACGATGAGTGCAATTGAATCTGATGCAAGCTGCAAGCTGGCCCGGCCCGAGACGCAAACATACCAGCATCCATCATAGCCAGGGAGCCACCGCAGACGGAGGCCATGGATGAACTGCCAAAAGAACTGCACAAGCAGATCCAGCCCAGGTGAATCAGTGGAAATGCCAACCAAGAAATTCCGGACACCAAGCAACCTCGACTTGGTTAAGGGAAAACAATTTGGGGGACTCGCCGTGGGAAGAAGCCATGTGATAGAAGAGGGCACGAAACAACAGGAACGATAAAGAATGCGCTTGAGTAGACCAACCTGGTTACTTGGCTTGTCACACGCACGGTATTCTCATAGCCGGGATCAATCATGCGGCCCAGGGCTCGTTCGGCCAGCGAGCCTGCGGGAGGCAGCTTTCATGAGCAAGGGAGACCAGTGCAGCCCACTGGCTTCAAATTACAGCGCAGGACTCACCGTGACCAGTTTCGCGACGCATCTGGCCGCGCCGCACGCGAATTTTGTTAATGGCGTATGCAGGAAATTCATAGTCGAAGAAAAAGCTTTTTTGTGGGCTCAGGCCGGCCACAGCCACCTGTTCCAAGTGATTTCCCGAGTTCAGCGAAGCCACCGGCAACAGTTGCGGCAGAAAAAGAGAAGGAGGAGGGCGCGGGGGAGCGTGGGGGTCAGGAGAACAATTGTTTCAACAACGGACGAGTGTACCTCAATCTCATCCAGGCGCTTGACAGCATCACGATCACCCAGGGTTGCCGTGCAAAACACTTGGGTTTCACCACGCTGAAAAAGGCTGTTGCCATGCAATTCAGGATAGAGGTTAATGGCAGCCTGGACGGCTTGCACTTCGTCAAAGTCACGGCCATCAATGCTGCGGGCAAGTTTAGACGCATGGAATTGATGAATGAGAGTCCAACCAGCCAAGGAAGGAGGCAGGCCAAACAAAGAGTGGCGGGTGGGTAGGGCGATCTGTAGCCGTGATCGGACCGAGTGTCTTCGCTCAAGACGAGCTGACGTAAGGCCTCCTTTAGAACCTCCTCCAGTGCGTCATCCACGAGGCGCAGGCCAGCCATGGGAAACTGTTGCAAAAGATCAGCTTCAAGCTGATCGGCTAATACCCAGGGCAGTACAGGACGCACGAGCAACGTGAGATGCGGTCGGTGCCAGAATAGGTGGCCTCGAGACCAAAAGAAAAGGATGGGACATACTGATGCTGTTAAGTCGCTCAATGCGATCTCGTTTGGAAAGCATGTGCATCCGCAACACTTCAAGCACGCTTTCCAGGCCTTGGGTGATAGCCGCTGCCATGATGCCCTGCAGAGGAAAGACAGACCAGGATTCAAAAAAAAAAAGGCCGCACCAACCAAGTAGGATCGTGGCAGGGCAAGAATTAAAACTCGCGCTGGGAGCAACGAACCAAAGCGAGCGGCTCGCGGAGAAGTGGCTTTTTGGTACGACCGGCGCGCTCGCCAAGTTCGCGCTGCGCTTCAAGAGACGGCTAGCAGCACATGATTTTTAATCGTTGAAGTTAGGTACAAGTCCCTTTCTTTGTTAATTGGCATCTCATAGAGGTACGTGTTGTCAAGGCCTAAGAGTAGAAAATTGAACAACAATGCTGCTGGTGGACGTACCTGGATATGTTGATGCGCAGCACGAAGGGCACGCTTGAGGGCAGGAAGAGGGAGCTGGGGGGCAAGGTTGGAGAAAAGGTGCAGGCACATCAAATTGGTGAGGTTGATACGGCAACGAGACGGCATAGTTGAGAGGGCGTCATCTACCTCGGCGCCCTCGAAATCGATCATGACTGCTCCAGCCTGCACGCCAGAATAGAGCTAGACGCAGGGTGTGGGAGTGATGATGCATGTGAGGGGTGTTTGGTGAAGCGGCAGCCTGCGGTGTGCAAGTTGGACTGATTGAGACACCAACCAGCACGCCAACGCATTCGGCCGTCTCCTTGTGATCCGGGTTGATGAGCAGCTCATAGGGCTCGTCGTCTGAAGCAACCTCTAGAGCTTTTCGAACACCAACTCGAACGGCCGCTGCAAAGCCCCGGCCAAGGAGTTGGGAGTGAGGGAACGAAAATGACTCATTGAGCCCTTTGATAAAGAGAGACAAAAGTCGGGATGAAGACCGTACCGACAGGGCCGTGCCAAGAGATATCCGAGACCATGAGAGCAGCTGAGGCGGCTTCGATGGACTGTACGGTTGGTTCCATGCGGGCTTGCGAGGCGAGGAGCTTGACGGTCATCTGGGTGGAAGCGGCCACATCACTGGGCACGAGGGGACGAAGGCTGCGATCCACCAGTCGAGCCACGAGAGTTTCGCGATCACGCTCGCCACCCTCGCCTACGGGAAGAAAAGAAGGCAAACTTTTGAGCCGAATGCTTGACTTTGAAGTACACGTGCGGGTAAGACGTACGGCGGTGAAAGCTTTTGGGGATGAGATTGACGGCCGTGCCTCGCTCACGATAGTCGACCTGTTGGAGCAGGGGTGTTAAGAAAGGGGAAGGGGTTGAATGAAGAGGGCAGGCTGGTAAGCAAAGCGAAGCAGTTCATTTGACAACAAAGGGCGAGCTTCGTCTGCTATAGAACGGAGCCGGTCAGGGAAAGGGAAGATATGAGGGTTAGGGCATAAGAGTGTCAAGAAGAGCAAACAAAAGAGAGTGGGAGGGGAGCAAGGGGTTGAGGTGGTGACGGGACAACCTTGATCCAAAGTGACAGCGCCGTCGGCTTGGTAGGCGAGGGCACCGCAGGTGAATGTAGCTGGCTCATGTGAGCCAGTAGCGGCCTCGGAGGTGATGCGAACCACAGGAGAGAGATACGGGACGTATTTTGAAGCTTGCCGCACCGCTATCAGGCGGGCCAGCTGCTGCAGCTGGCGCTGGCGCTGCCAGCACGAGCCCACGCGCATCATCTTGTCGATTTCCCGAGCGCGCAAGCTGGACGCCTACAACACACGAGCGGGCAAACAGGCAAGCCGGCACATGAACAACAGTCATAGACACACACACCCAAGAGGTACAAACGAGGACACGAAGACCAACACCAACGACGCAGGCGTCACCCCTCTTTCTCCACCCATCTCATTTTTCGCATCGTATCGTACCTTCCCAAGCCTACCAGGCGTCGGAATCACCACCCAACTCGCTCGACCTCAAGCGCCGCGTCTCCGTGTCTCCGTCGTCCGTTCGCGCCACGAGGCCGCAAAATCCTTGAAACACACACACACACACACACACACACACACACACACACAAAGAACAACGTTTATCTGACATTGTCTTTGATGTCAGACAAATCGTCAAGATGGACTTTGAAAAGTAAAACACTTTTCATCTTATCAAAAGTGTACAAGAGGTAGTATATGTAGTAACGATCAGCAACGTTGGCACCACAACGTCACACACACAGAGTTTTCCCGCGAGAAGTGGTGAGAATTTGAAATTCAAACCAAAAAAAAAAAACGCTGAAATTTCATCTGCTGCCTCTCTCTCTCATTTTTTTTTGAAGCTTGCTTGTATTGCTTGAAGGTACGGATGGATGATGTGGCCTGGGTGGCGCGTTCTTGAGAAGGGAAGGGGTGGTTGGATATGACTGGTGCAGGGGCTTGAGTGGCTACTTGTACTTACGCTGTTCTCACAAGCCTTGCTCATCACGGCCGCTACGGTTCTGCTTGGTGTTCAAGAAGTTACCAGTGCAATGGCGACCACCTCCAAGAAGCATCAGAACTTTGTGCGCGAGCCCATGTATCGTGGCGGTGACCCCAAGCCTGTGACGGAGCTGGCTGGTGTTGGAGAGAAGGCGGGTTCTGAATTCAAGGAAGTCGGAATCAGCTTTGCCCATGAAGTCCTGGTCAGTGTCTACCCTTCATGAGAAAGGGCACCATTCTTGCCCCTGGCCAAGCGTGCTTTCCCCTCGAGTTTTCGGAATTTGGTTTCGCTCACGCACACCCGTACATGATCGCTTCCCCTGGGTGCCTGGCTCTCTGTAGGGCAACTATTTGGCCGCCAACGAGAACGAGGAGTCCTTCCACGCCTTTCTCAAGGAGAACGCGCCTTGCTTGAACTCCAAGCACCGTGAGGATTGCTACAAATGCCTCAAGGAATGGACCACTACCAACTTGTAAACAGGGCAACCTGGCCTTGCTCTTTTATATTTGTGCCTTGACTGTTGACTATAATAAGTGCTTGTTTGTTTGCTCCAGTCTCCGGTTGGGGCGATCCCTCGACACGCGTGCCTGTCGTTCTACCAGAAAATTTATTTTCTAGCTTTTTTATTTTATTTTTTTTTTTACATCTAGATGTTTTCAACTTGAATAATAAGTGTCAACGGGGAAGGGCGCAGGCGCGAGTTCATCTGCGTCTGGCTTTCAAAAGGACGCACCGAGGGCGGTTCGGATGTCGTTCAAAGGAGTATGGTCGACCTGCTTTTTGATGCGAGTCTTTGGTGGCCAAGTGTATCGAAGGAATAACAATCCTTCTCAAGAGGCTGGATTGAGATGATGAGGAGTCAAAATAACGTGATGCACGTCACATCTCAATTTTTTTCTGTCACGCGAGCAAGTCACAATAGAGAGAGAAACAATAAGACAAAGAGAAGACACTCAACGCATAGGAAGAGACAGCCAATGAGGCGGGGGAGGAGGCGGGATTGGAAATTTGAGACCAACAGAGGAGGGGCACGACACCATGTTGGTACAACCAAGCCTGGTATCGAGCCCAACCCAAATCCCATACAACCCTCCATCACGAGCAAAACAGCCAGCTGTACAAAGACCCATGACGCATGGCGGAACACTACAAAAGCGTTACACATGGACACAAAACACGCGTCATGCCAGGCATCGACCCTCACATTGCAAGCGCCCGCCAGCGCGCACTCCAGCAGGTGGACGGAACAAAAGCAGGAGGGAGGGACAACACGAAAATACACAGAAGATAGACAAGGGAACGCACACACAAGCCCGAGGGATGGGACTAGACCTCATCCAACGGTGCATTTAGCGGGTCGCCTTGTACAGCTCAACCTCCTTCTGGTACTGGCTCTTGAGGCGATCGGCCCGGTCTTGGTAGGGCTTCTTGACAGCGTCGCTGAGGTCCTTCCACTCGGCACCAATGATCTTGGCAATGTCGGCCACAGTCGCGTTGCGGTTCTGGGCACGGAGAGCGGCACGACGGTCGGCGGCGTACAGGAAGTAGGCCGTCAGGGGCTTCTTGGGCGCATCGGGGTCTTTGCGGCGCTTGCTGTTAATGGGGTGACCGATGGATGAAAACATCAAAGCAGAAACCAATGTGAGGGCGTGGTGGAAGGGGGCCAGGCGTGTATTCCATAACAATCAGCATGAGGAGGGGGAGAGTGAAGGAGTGAAGGAGAGGAGAGGAGGCTTACCCGCGCTTGCCGAGCTCGCGGGTGGGGGGAGGCACGTAGGTGGCCATCTGATGCTGGTAGCGCTGCTTGTCACGACGCGCCATCTCCTCGTAGGGCTTCTTGGCTATCGTACGTTGAGGCAAAGCAACGAGAACGAGGGTGGAGCGGGCATGTGAGTGCTGGTTTCGAGTTGCATTTGTCCGGGGGGAGCCTTATCATACCGGCATCGCTCATCTCGCGCCAGGCGGCACCAATGAGCTTGGACACATCGGTCATCTTCTTATCGGGATTGTCCTTGGAGAACTGAGGGCGGACCTTCTGGCTGAAGAACTATATAAAGGCAGACCATTGTTGAATCAAAGGAGAGTGGGGTGAGACCATGTGTGGGGCCGGCAGGCCGCTGGGCTATTGAGGCAGATGACGGGATGGGGCAGCGCCTCACCATGTAGGCCGATTGGGCATTCTTGGGTTTGTTGGGGTCCTTCTTGGCGCGCTTCTGGCGAGGGCGCTTTTGGCGGCTGCTCGATGGGAAACGGTCATCACAAACAGCGTAAGAAAAAGGCAGTCGGATTGGGGATAACGGTCGCTTTGGATCGGGCAAAGGCAGGGGGCATGGCAATGGGGTTTCAAGCAAAAAGGGCAGCGGCTGATCTGAATGCATGCACAGCCAGCGGCACAGACAACCGCCCACCAGCCAAACAAAACCGGCAACGGAAAACTTACGGGGCCTCATGGACCTCCTCCTCTTCCTCGTTGTACTGGTCGTCGTAGTCGTGCTCATCCATGGCGGCGGTGAGGGTCAATGACAAAAAAATGGGGAACAGCTCTCACACTACAAGGCGAGCAAGGGAAGCCAAAGGCAACCACACAGACACACAGAGTGAGTCGGTAAGCCAAAAGCCAAAGCAAACGGTCAAACGGTCAAACGGCTGGTTCATCATCATCATCATCATGTATGTGTGTTTGGAAAGGGTGCATAACGGCAGACCAAGGCAAAATGCTTCAAGCGTGAGTGTGTGAGTGTGAGTTTGAGTTTGTAACGGCCGATCGGTGAAGGAGGTGCAGAGGCAGGTGTGTGAGTGTGTGTACACACCCTCTCACACGTCAAGACAAAGGAAACAAAGCGTACCCAGAGGAACAAACACAAAGAGGCGGTGGGTGGGTGGGTGCATGGAAGGAGGCGGAGGAGGTTGTAACGGTCAAAATCGCGCTTCACTACACACATACACACAAGGGGAAAAAATAACGGCAACTTTCCGCCCAAAACAAAGCAGGAAACAAGAGCCGTCGAAAGAGTGCCGAAACAGACCGCGCAAGGCACAGATCTTCAAGCCCAAGCCCCCTCCATCAACGGCAGTGCATTTGACCCGACCACAACGGCAGCGGGTGAGGCACGTCACCAACAAAGCGACCGCCAAGCGCCAAGAGGCGACACCGCGGCTCCTTAAGCTTCTGCACTAGAGATTGTCACACAACACAACAACACAACACAACGTACACACACACACAACGTACACACACAGAGCCAAAAGGGAAGCCGCTTGTGGCAGCGGGGGGGTTTGTGACAGGGCCGTGTATATACATGTATGTCTTTCCACAAGGGGTAAGCAAGCTTAAAGCGGTATACATGGATGTCAAAGCGGGGCAATATTTCTCACAAAAAACCGAAGGGCAAGAGAGATAAAGGGAAGTAGTGTGTGGGATGTGTGTGTGGTGGTGAAGGGGAACAAGAACAAGGGGTTTGTACCGTGTAGAGCTAGTGGCTTGGAAATGCTTCAGGGGCAAAGGGGAAAGGGAAAACCACAAGCGCTGGTTAGAGTGTGTGGGGGGAGAAGTGGGGAATAGGGTCATAAGGTCGTAAGGTTACCAGGTCGTCAGTAAGCTTTAAGCTTAAGGGGCTCTGCTTGGAGGTGCCGCGTGTGGGTTGTTGTGGAAAGGGAAAGCGGTAAGCTGTAAGGTTAGTGCAAGAACACAACGGGTCTGCTTTGAGGGGACTTTTTCGGATTTGAGCGGCACAAACAGGAAGCAAGTGATCACCATCACAAAACACCACAACGTGATGCTAAACAGCGGAATTACAGTAACATGGCCGCTGACTGTATAGCATTCCAAAGGAAAAACCTTGCTAAACTGATTCACCTTGCAGACTTTCGCTTTCAAAGAGGTTGGGGAAAAAGCCATTTCGTTGCTTTACGTTTATGCCTTTGAGTTTGAAAAAAAGTCCCCAGGAAGTGACCTTCTGATCTTTCTGCTGACAACGGGAATATTGTCAGCATTATTGGACAGAGTGAATGTTAGGGCAAAGGGGGTTTTAAAAGTTGTGATGGTCACGAGTCGCTCGCTCTATGGTTGGAGGCAGCTACCTCGATTGGAGATTCAAAAAGTCCAAGCAGAATACAGACAACAAGATTTGAACAAACTACAGCTGACAAGGCTGCCTTTGATGGAGTGCCCCGGAACACGTCAACCACTTTCTTTCTTATGCCTTGCCATCGGCAATCAGCTTTTTCATTCGCTCGTGGCGTCGCAGCAAGCGCAACGTTCGGGGACTATCTCCACCACTCGCCGGCTCTTGTTCGGCGGCCTGCACCGAGATCTTGGACGTCGGTCGGCCTCCAGTGTGGGCGGTGCCACGCTTGGCCGCAGCCGGTGTCGCCGAAGGTGGCGGCGAGCTAGACGCCGTTGCGGGTGCAGCGGCCTCCCGACTTGTTGTCTTGGCCCGAGAGCGCGATGATGCGCTCTTGGCCTTGCCAGCTGCAGGTGCTTCCGAGGCCCCTTGGGAAGGTCCACTCAGGTCCAAGGTCTTGGCCGCGCCTATCGTGCAAAGCAGGGCACAGGTGAACGAGTGGGCAGGGGCATCCTTTAGACTGTTTTTGAGGAAGGCTGGGCTCATTTGGCGAATGGCAACGTACACTTGGCCAGGACCGCCGCAAACTTGGCATACTTGGGTTCCTCCGAGTATCCCAGAGCAAAGACTTGCTCAAGCATCGGGGCAATCGCGCCTGCAAGGCATCCCATTCATTCATTGAGCGCACGAGTTACAAAAACGCTGGCGCAAAACAGAAGACGAGACGGCACCCCTGCCCCAATAGATGCAACCCGCGCAGCGCCTACCTAGGACTTGAGGGTCTGTGATGCCGCATGCTTGGGCTAGCTCGGTGGCACCACGCTTCGCCTTGGCTCCCGGCAACCCCGCTTCGCCGGCACGCGGAAAAAACTTCCTGTGCTCGCCCACCGACGTTGTAATCACAGCAAGTGAGCCAAGTCGCCAAATTATTGAGAAAGAAAAGAAAGGGGGAGAGAAAAAGAAGGAAAAAGAAGCCGCAGCTTGTGGTCTGCACAAGCAAGGTCCAACAGATTGAAACACTGACATCTTCATGTCCTGAACTTGCTGTGGCGTCTTCTTGTCCGTGGCAATGTTCACGTTCTTAGCCAGCTCGTACCTGCCATGGTGCAACTCATCAGCATTGCGCTGGGCAGCCTTGCCATTGTCAAGTTGAGAAGACAAACAAAAAACCGCCTTTTTTAAACTGACCAGGGCAGCGTGCCCAACCAGTGAAGACACTGGTAAGCGAAAATCTCCAGATCGCCGCGTCGGGTGCACAATGCGCCCTACACGCGCGCAGCACCCACCCAATCAAGAGTGGTCACAAAAATGAAATAAAGATAGTCCCGGCCATTGTGCTACTCCATTCTACCCAACTCGCGTACACCGCACACACACCTGGTGCATGTCCAAGCACGTAAAGGGCAGCGTGCCCTCATGCCTTAGTGTTGGGTCGATGAGGTACGGCTTGTGCCCGTCACGAGTGACACTAAAAAAGAACGGCAGATGTGTTGTGCGACAACCGAGTCAGCACCTCCCACGAGCACCAGCACTTACCCCTGTTGGCTGAAACGGCACAGATGCATGGATCTGATTGTTCAAGCCGGCACGGCATGGTGACACGTACACACCTGAAACGCTCGGCGCAGCCAAAGTCGATCAGGATGATATCATGATTGTTGCCCAAAGCTATAATATACAACACAGGCCTTGGTGGTGAGCTGTCGTAAAGAGCAGCACCTTGCCCCGCTCCCGTCTGCACGCATGGTCATTGACATGAAAGTCACGCACAGGTGCAAATGTTGGCTCCCTTGATGTCCGAGTGAACATAGTCGTGCGAGTGCAGGTAAGCCAGTGCCTCCGTCACTTGACTCGCAATCAGCGCCACCGTGCCGGCGCTCAGCTACCACGGCACCATGGATGTGAGCGAAATTTGTGGTCATCGCCTGCCACGCCAAGGAAAGGCTGCCACACCTTGTGTGCCGTATTCCTGTGCTGGTCCATGACATCGTTCAGGGAAGGGCCGTAGCGAGGGAGTACCATGACACGGCAGGACAGTTTGCAGAGCTATGCATCAACCAAGAGCCGGTTCCACAAGGCCATGCATTGGAACCCAGTCAACAAGGTCAGTGGAGGCCGAGCGCATGGCCGGGACGGGCACCCCGGCGGCATACCGTGACTGTGCCCATGCCCAGGGTATAGGCGAGAGGGAAATGCTTGAGCTTGCGCTTGGCCATCCACGTCTTGCGGTCTAACACAGCGCCCGGAGATGCCGGTTTATCAGTCGACCCAACGCGAGGGCTGACAGACACCGCCGGCAACAGTAGCCCAGTTGCCTTTACCTGATGCCCAAGCCGTGAGCTCTGCTCCGCTCATGCACTTGTACTCGCTGAAAACACCTTGGCTCGCAGCATGCTCCTACACTCACCAAACGCACTGAGCGACGGTAGGCCAAAGCCCACCCAACCTCGCGAGCACGCCAAGTCTGGGACCGTGGACCATGCTCACAATTTTAACGACGTGGTCCATCTTGGAGCGACTACCACCCGTGGCAGCTACACAACAAGCCATGCATTTCGGTTAGCACCGAGTGCGAGCCGCCAACGGCGCTGACGGCAAACATGTGAGAGAGCAAGGCGCCGTGCCGACCTTCGTAGATGAGGCCAAAACCTCCCACCCCGAGCTGACGCCCAAGCACATACTGATCCTTCAGAATCTCAATCGTGAGCCCATCCGGCTTGATCTTTGGCGGCCCAACGGGCGCCTTGGCCTTGCCCATGTTTGTAAGCTACACCAATTCCCTACCAGCCCTCGTTTCTCCGCCGCCAAGCGCGCGTCTGCCCGTCTATTCTTCCGTACGTCGGCTCGTCGACGAAGCGGGATCAGCAATTGTCAAGAAAGCACACACTTCAAAAGCAATTTTTTTTTTTTTTTGAATTTCGCGCGAAACACGTTTTGGCTGACATTTCTGTCCTGCTTGTAAAGCCCTGTCGTGTGGAGATTGAAGAAGTATCACGAGTTCACGTACATTTATTGGTGTTTGATACACGACTTTGTGCAGATATTTTACATGTTTGTGCAGAAGGGGATGATGACTTGAGCGGGCAGTGCTGTTGGCAAGGCGCAAAGGACGAGATGACAGCCAAGGGCGGCAGTGGCAGCGGCAGCGGCAGCGGGCGGCTGGGGGCGGCGGGGTTGACCACGATGGCGACATCGCTGGATGACTTGATGGCGGGGGCTTCGACTGCTGACTATGCCATTAATCGGGGCAATCGGTTTCCGATTCCTGCCGAACACTTTGGGCGCCTGCTGCGCAATGTGGTCGGAGAGCTGCCGGATGGCCGCCAGGTGGTAGAGGCAGCTTTGGCGCAGGCGGCCACGGAGGTCTTGCAGCCAGGGACCGAGACTGGCTCAGCATCCAGCGGCGACTTGCCTCGCGCCTCGCGCCTGACCGTACCCAGCTTTCGTCTCGGCCAGGACGTGCCCACGTTTGTCCGGCGCCTGCAAGCCTACCTTTCAGGGCGCATGTACAACGCCACCAACATGCAGTGCTTTGAGATTGACAAGGGGAAACCCATCTGCCGCCTGCTCGAGACAGCCAAGCTAATCCTGGAGCACCCACTCCCCATCAAGTGTCTCGAGGCCGTCGTCGTCGCCGTGCACCTCTCCAATCCCGTCGCAAAATTGGCCCGCTTCACCATCTCCTTCAAAACTAGGTTTGCTGGTCAGAGCTTCCGCCACATTGTGCTTGGCCTCCACTTTGACGGCCTCTTTGGCGCGGTCGGTCTCAGCCGCCGCGCAACCCTCATGGACCGACCCCTGACCTTTGACTCCCTCACCGACCTCATCAAGGTGAGCCATTGCAATTGCCGCACACATTATGTTGCGGTCCATTGAGTTGACATGAAGCGCGTCCTGGTGATCGTGTCATCTCACGCTGGCCGCCGCGCTCGTCGCCCTGGGCAACACGTCATTGTAGACATATGTGAGCGCCTACGCCGATGTTGGACATTGGGTGCAGCATGTGCGCCTCTCGCAATTCCTTTCCCATGACCCACACTCAAACAACGTCATTCAGTGGCGCCAGCTGCAACTCAACCTTCACGGGGTACGTGCCTACCCCATGGCTTGCTTTTTGGCAAACAATGGGTGTCAAGGATCAGAGCACCCGGCTGGGCTCGATTTCTTCCCTCACAGCGCACATGATGCTTTTTTGACGTGGCTTGCACGAGTGCAGTTGTCTTGGGACCAGATTGGTGGTGAGCTCGACATGTACGTGCGCCAGATGCGCAAAGGCTTCTCACCCGCAGAAACGCGGATCGTCCGCAGTTCGCGACCACGCCGGTCTCGACCGCCCAAGTCTGCCACTAGCAGCCAAAAGACCAAAAGCACCGCCAAGGAGCCACGCAGCAACACCTTTGCCATCCGTGTATAGGCCCCATCCCCCGTTTCTTGCCACAAGACGCTGAGCGTCTCCTTGTTTTCTTTTTTCTCTTTTTTTTACAATGTGTTTGATCATCATCAACATGCGGCGCAAAAGAACAACTAGGCTGCCTCGAGCACGCTTTTACCCTGTCCTAGAAAACACACCACCGTCAAGACATCATGCTATACTTACCATCCTGCCTGCGTCAAACCAAAGTGTCGAATGTTCGTCGTTCATGAAAACGCAAATCGAGTTTACATGTTAAAATGAATTTAAGGGGATGAGCCGAGTGGCATGGACCAACTCGGGCGCGCAAGCGCGGCAGGAGGAAGATTGAATGAAAACGCGAGGCCAAACGGCGCGCTTTGCATACTGCAACAAACACGCGCGGGCCAAGCACCTCCAACAAAACACAGATAAAACATACAGCGCGAGGTCACAAAGAGCTGACAACAGGCCAAGCCAGCAGCGCACAAGCCACGCTCGCTGTACAAGGTCGTATTTCGCAGAACTCGACACAAAATCAAGCGTGTGCTTGCTTTAGAAGAGGCCGACTTCTTTCTTCTTGTTGTTCTGCTTCCACTTGGCCAGCGCCGAGAACTCGGAGCGGCTCATCTTGAAGATGGTCTGGAAGTCGTCGTCCGACAGGTACTGCTCCTTCTTCGTCTTGTCAACAGTGTCAGGGAGACCGTCATTGCTCTTGAGCTGCTCATAGGGGTACTTCTTGTTGGTGCTAAAGGCATCCATTGCTTGGTCGAGGCTGACGGCACCAACCTCACCCGAGCCGAGCGCGGCCTTGAGCTGCTCGTAGTTCATGCCGTTGGACCACTTCTCGTCGTCCCACGCCATAAAGTGGCAGCGGAAGTTGGTTGGCTCCAGACCCTGCTTGACCACCATGATGGCCGTGTCATCGCTCGTGCGGTCCGTAGGATCCGAGTCGACGTACTCCTTGGCCGTCTCCAGAGCGTGCTTGCGCTCCTCGACGTTGGCACCCGCACCAATCCAGACAAAGACCTCGAAGAAGGCGTCAAGGATCATGACGTCGTCCTCAATCAGGTCCTCCTGATCAAAGTCGAAAATCTCCTCGACATAAAAGTAGCCGCGGGCGTTGGAGCACTGGAACAGACGCGGGGGACGGTATTCCTGCATCTGGGCCTCCTTGACCTCAGCGTAGTGGGGACGGCCGTTGGCAATGTCGTGGCCCAGACCAGACCAGAACTCGGCAGGCTCCTGGCCTTCCGTGACCGTTTCAAAGCCACGGTTGCCAATGACCGCCTTGATAATTTGGCGGCCAAACTCGCGCTCATCGCCGCTGCAGCCCTTGCCGAACCACAGGTAGCACTGCTTGGGGGTCTCGAGGATGAAGACATCGCCCGAGTTGAGGGAGGCAGGCTCCTCCTCGACCTGGACGGCGCGGGTGTTCCAGTCGTTGGTGCCGCGGACCTGGAAGAGGCGGGTGCCGTCCGTGTCGTAGCTGTCCTGATCGGCAACGTTCTTAAAGCCCGAGGCGTGGCCACCGGCGTGCACGACCATGCCGCCAAACTGCTGCATGACGAGGTAAAAGTGCGGGGGCTCCTTGTTCTGGACGACGCGGACCTGGACCGGATCGCCACCGTACTCCTCATCGAGCTTGACGGCGTGGATGGCCGAGGCACCGCGCTCGTCCTGGGACGACTTGAGGCCCTGCCAAAAGTAAATGATGTAGCACTTCTTGCTGTTCTTAAGGTAGGTGTAGAGCATGACGTACGAGTCGCCGCCAAAGAAGTGGCCGTACTGCTCCTTGGGAACGGGGGCGCGCTCAAAGTTCTCGATGCGCCAGACCTCGAGGGTACCCTTGCCGTCATCGGGCAGCGTCTCTTTTTGGCGCTCGACAGCATCGTGAAGCGTCATGGTGCTAAACTGCTTGTTGAAGGCCGGGTTCTTCTCGCGCTTGGCATACTGGCCGGGGAGAAGCATGTTGGGTTCGGGCCATGAGGCAAACTTCTCCTTGAAGACAGGGGTCTCGCCGGTCTCGACGACGCGGGTGACGGGGGTGTGGTTGGGGTAGCCCTTTTGCTTGATAAAGTCGGTACCAGTGCGCATGGAGAAGGCACGCTCCTCCTTGGTGGCACCCTTGCCGACCCAGACAAAGATACCGGCGGGTCCGCAGTCGAGGATAAAGGCATCGTTGGTGTCGAGCTGCTCCTTCTTGTAGGGCTTCTCCTCGATGGGAGTGACCTGCATGGAGCCCGAGGCGTCGGAGACGCGGTAGAGGGTCATCTCCTTGACGGCGCTGCGCTCATGGGCGTCATCCGAGCCGGCATCCTGAGCCGACTTGATCTGAGCCGGCTTGCCACCAAGCTTGCCCCAGAAGGCGGCATCGTCGTCCTTGTCCTGGTCAATGACGGAGATCTTGGCACTGCCGCCACGCTCCTCATCGCGGATGCGCTGGACAATCTGCATGGCCTTGGTCTTCTCAAGACGGCTAGCCTCCTTGCCGTTCCACTGGTAAATCTCCATGTAGGCATCGAGGATGAAGACATCACCCTCGTTGACGCTGCCGGCCTGAAGAGGGACCTCGGAGACGCGGATTTTGCGGCGACCCTTGACGTGGAGCAGACGAGTGCGGTGCTCGCCCTCCTTGTCAACGTGCTTGAAGCCAGTGGCCACGCCTCCAGGCAGATATTGCAGACCATCCTTGAAGAGACCAAGGAACTCGTCTGACTCGTGGTCCTGGACTTCGCGATGCTGGACGGGCTCATCGCCGAGCGACTGGTCGAGCTCGACCGTCTTGTAGGCGGCCACGCCCTGCTCGTCCTGGGTCGACTCCTTGCCGAGCCAGAAGTAGATGTGGCGCTCAAGCGCAGGGCCAACTTGCTATAGACGCACGAGCAATGCACGACTCGCGTGAGAGATGACAAAATGCACGTCATGTCGGTTGCGTTTCGGACGCGCGATGGCCACAGCCACAGCAAGAGTGGGAGGTAAGCGGAAGCAGTATGAGACGGGTGCTGGGAACTGGGAGCCGGCCTCGCACCTTGGTCTGGAGGATAATGTAGGCATCGCCCTCGTGGAGCTGGCCCTTGAAAGCCTTGTCTGTGGGTTCCTTCTTCACCACGGCGAGCTTCTCCACACGCCAGATGTCGAGACCAGGCTTCTGGCCGACGCCCTTGAAGCTGGGGTCGAAGACGGTGGGAACGCCCTTGGGAGCCTCAAAGCCTGCATGAATGAGCAGTAACGTGAGCGCAGGTGCATCAGGAAAAGAAACGGAAAGGGGCGGGCGCATCATCGAGCGGCAGTGCACGAGACCATCCGACGGGGTTGTGCACCACTGGCGGTGCGCTGGGGTGGAACGCACGTACCCATGATGGTGGTTGTAATTGTAGTGAGACCACGGGGTTCAAATCTGTGGCTGCTATCAACGACGCCGCTCAACGCGACCTCTTTGACAGTGGATGCAGAAGGTTGACACTAGTCAAACAAGAAGAGAAAATGTCGAGCTTGACAGCCGCGCAGCAAAGAGGAGAAGAACACTTGACGGAAAGGGCGCGAGATCCAAAAAAGGGAAAACTGCCGCCGAGCTGGTCATCCAGCTCACCACCAGTGGCTGCTAGAGACGGTGGTGAAGGCTGATGTAAGCGGAGAGTTGGTGTTTGCGATGCTGTTGGACGAAGAGAGATGGCCGACGAGCACCTTTGTTCAAGTGTGACATCATATGTAAATGCAGAGATGATGGCATTTCTGTGACCCATTACAGAGATGAAGCTTGCCCATGACCCCCGTTGCAGAGAAGGTTCTATGCGCTGTCAACATTTGATAAGAACAAAAGATCTCCCCTCTTCAGTGGCAACAACAACAACAAAAGGGAAAGGGGGCGGAATGAATGCTATTTCCTCTCTCTCGCTCTCTCCCTCTCTCTCTCCTCTACGCTGAACTGGCAAAGAGGAGAAAGAGCGGAAAGAGATGTGGATAATTTTGTATCAGAATCCAGTGGTTTTTGGGTATTAAGTTGATTCAGACTTGGATCATCTTTCCCGCCAAAATCCCAGCGGCAACGTTCCGTCTTGCGAGCATTTTGCCATGACCTTTTGCCATGGCTGAGTCCAAAAATTGGCGAGCCCGCGATGGAGATGCGGCACAGGCAGGGGCCACGGGGGCCGCTGCCTCACAACGTGGGACAAGAGGGCCACAAAAGGCCGCTGCCTCACAACGTGGGGCAAAAGGGCCACAAAAGGCCGCTGCCTCACAACGTGGGGCAAAAGGGCCACAAAAGGCCGCTGCCTCACAACGTGGGACAAGAGGGCCACAAAAGGCCGCTGCCTCACAACGTGGGGCAAAAGGGCCACAAAAGGCCGCTGCCTCACAACGTGGGGCAAAAGGGCCACAAAAGGCCGCTGCCTCAACTCATGGGGCAAAGGGGCTCAAAATCCCCTCGGATCTCCCTCGGGCAGCATTATTGATGCTGCTTGATGTCAAGGCAGCAAAAGCAGCCACAGAGCTGTTCAAGGAGAATGATCTGAAGCACTATGAGGCGCGGGCTCTTGTCCATTTGCCCCTGCCCTTGCCGACAGAGCGCGAGGCCTTGCTCAAGCAGTGCTGTGACCTCATCCCGGACGACGTATTCGCGCAGTGCAAAACAGAAGTGCCCGACGCTGGAAAGGGTACCAACCCCATCATGATGCAGGTGCTCTTGGACAAAGCCGACGCTCTGAACGAGGCTCATCAAAAGTTCTCTGACGAGTTTGGCTTGGGTCTGGCCCTTCTTTCCACTGTCGAGGGTCCGGACCCAAAGAACGGCTATCCAAATTGCGACGTTGTGGGCAGCGTCGGCTTTGGTAAAATCAATGAGGGCGAACTGGCGCCAAAAGCTGCCCAGCGCGAGGCTTGCGAGGAGGGCTGCTTGTTCCTGAAGGATCGCGACGAATTGTTCGACGTTTGTTTTGAAGCAGCCCCTTCAAAGACTGTGCAGGTTTATGCGTGGACCCCCAAAGCTCCGTTACAAGTCAGCTGCATCGACAAGAAGCTCGAACTGAGCTCAGTACCATTGGCTGCCGCCTCGCCTCATACGCACAAGACCTCAAGCGCCCATGACTCTGAGGACAAGGATGCCCCGAGTGCAGCGAAGGACGTGTCAGAGATCACTGAACGCCTTCAGAAAATGTTATAAGGCGCGCACTCTCTTGAAGATGCTGGTGGCTCCTCGTGAACACAGTGCGAGATACCGGGTTATAATACCTCCAGATGTTGAATGTCTGTCTACCTTTGTTTAGCGTCGTCACAAGAGCTTGATATCGCTTTCAATTGATCACGCACTCAAAAGTCAAAAAACGTCACACCCACTCACTCACTCACTCACTCACGCACTCACTCACATCACAAAGTATGACTGCTCCCACCTTTACCGATGGTCATTGGCGAATCGTGAACGCTTCGGGGCCGATTCATAGTGACCGTATCGGTCGCCGTCAGGGCGGTAGCGCATCTCTCTCTCTCTCTCTCTCTCTCTCTCATCTTCTCTCTCTCGACCTTTTACCAGCTCGAGCTGTCGACATTTCGTTGTCAGCAATAACAACAACAAGAGATGTGGATAATTTTGTATCAGAATCCAGTGGTTTTTGGGTATTAAGTTGATTCAGACTTGGATCATCTTTCCCGCCAAAATCCCAGCGGCAACGTTCCGTCTTGCGAGCATTTTGCCATGACCTTTTGCCATGGCTGAGTCCAAAAATTGGCGAGCCCGCGATGCAGATGCGGCACAGGCAGGGGCCACGGGGGCCGCTGCCTCACAACGTGGGACAAGAGGGCCACAAAAGGCCGCTTCCTCAACTCATGGGGCAAAAGGGCCCAAAATCCCCTCGGATCTCCCTCGGGCAGCATTATTGATGCTGCTTGATGTCAAGGCAGCAAAAGCAGCCACAGAGCTATTCAAGAAGCATCAACTGAAGGGCCATGAGGCGTTGGCACTCGTCCATTTGCCCCTGCCCTTGCCGACAGAGCGCCAGGCCTTGCTCAAGAAGTGCTGTGACCTCATCCCTGACGACGTATTCGCGCAGTGCCAAAACAAAGTGCCCCGCGCTGGAAAGGGTATCAACCCCAACATGATGCAGGTGCTCTTGGACAAAGCCGACGCTCTGAACGAGGCTCACCAAAAGTTCTCTGACGAGTTCGGCTTGGGTCTGGCCCTTCTTTCCACTGTCGAGGGTCCGTCCCCAAATTATGGTTATCCAAATTGCGACGTTGTGGGCAGCATCGGCTTTGGTAAAATCGATGGGCGCGAACCAGCGCAGGAAGCTGCCAAGCGTGAGGCCTGTGAGGAGGCCTGCTTGTCCCTGCAGGATCGCGACAAATTGTTCAACGTTTGTTTTGAAACAACCTCTTCAAAGACTTTCAAGGTTGCAACTAAGAAATGCCAGGGACTGTTGGAACGGTCTGTGCATGTTTATGCGTGGACCCCCAAAGCTCTGTCACAAGTCAGCTACAACGACATCAAGAAGAAGCTCGAACTGAGCTCAGCACCATTGGCTGCCGCCTTGCCTCGTAAGCACAAGACCTCAAGCACCCATGACTCTGAGGACAAGGATGCCCCGAGTGCAGCGAAGGACGTGTCAGAGATCACTGAACGCCTTCAGAAAATATTATAAGGCGCGCACTCTCTTGAAGATGCTGGTGGCTCCTCGTGAACACAGTGCGAGATTCCGGGTTATAATACCTTTACACACTCGAATGTCTACCTTTGTTCATCGTCATAAGAGCTTGATGTCACTTTCAATTGATCACGCACTCAAAAGTCAAAAACGACACACTCACTCACATCACAAAGTCCGACTGCTCCCACCTTTACCGGTGGTCATTGGCGAATCGTGAACGCTTTGGGGCCGACTCATAGTGACCGTATCGGTTGCCGTCTGGGCGGTAGCCCTGGTCGTAGCGATTGGATCGGTCCCATTGCCTTTGTCGAGGGGGCTGATAGTCATGACCACGGTGTGTATATCGCCCACCGTCAAATGCGGACCCACTAGGGGACACTCCCGGGCCACTTCGACGCTTCATGTTCAAATGATGTTGAGCGCCATATCCACGCCGGCCGGGAAGGCGCTCCCGTCCCCGTTCAGCAACGCCCGTCCGTCGCACATGAGCTTCGCCGTACTCCAGTAGAGGCCGGATGGCCTCGCGAGTAGGCAGGGTGACGGGATGCGCCGGCTGCACAAAGGTAACAATGCAGACCTGAAACTTTTGCAAATCAACTGTGGTAAACGACGTGGCGACGCAAGTTGAGCCTGCAGAGAGTTGGGAGTGCAGGTCGTCATCCAAGCGCTGCGCTAGCTCCTCCAGGTCATAATTTCCAGGCACCTTGCACATGACCACGGCCAAACCTGCATCGCGACAAGCCAGAACGATCTCGGGCAAATCCGCCGAGCCCAAGAAGAGCGGAAGGTGGCCCGTGGCCTCGATATAATCGGTCCCGCCCCACGGCGGATCAATGACGGCCGCCATGGGGTGCAACGCGGCCAGTGCGGGGTCTGACCGCACCCGCTGAAGCAATACCGAGGCATCGGCTGAGGTCAGCGTGAGGTCAAACTCCGGCTCGGGGGCCAGGACGCGCATGTTGTGGTGAAGCATGGCATAACGGGTGGCATCGAGCTCATTGGCCACGACGGCAAATTCCTGCACAAGGCCCAACGTGTTGCCCCCAACGCAGGCCGTAATATCCATGACGGTCTTTCCTCGGGGCACGTACAGCCGCAAAAGCTGGGCCATCAGATTGGCGCGCGTAGCATCGGTGATGGAAAAGGTGGCCTCCTCGTCTGTCCAAAGAGCTGCACGCTGCTCCGCCGTAAAACCACACTTGTCAGGGAAGAAAAAATTGAGTTTGCCGTGCCCTTGCACAATGTTCCGAGCCGGGTCGGCGACCAGCGTCACGACCGGCTCGGGGTTGACACCAGCAAGGCCAACCGCCTGCTCTGCTCTGGCGTCGGCGCCTGAACGCGGTTCCTCCCCATTTCGTCCCTCCCCTGACACCAACGCAAACCCTGTGGTCTCACCCGCAGCCTGCTCCTCCGTCACCTCCCCTGGCTCCGGGCCAGCCGGACTAAAAGAGATGCCCGGGCTTGTCCAGATGCCCGGGCTTGTCCCGAAGCCGGGGCTTGTCCCGAAGCCGGGACTAGAATCGAAGCCTGTGATATCTGAACATGGCGTCGTCATCAAGGACGGTGCATCTTCGGGCGTCGCCATGATGTGTCAGGAGGCATGCGAAAAATGTCAGACAAATTACCTCACTTGTGTTGGAAACGAGTCGTGTGCTTGTGCACACACTCAGGCGCTCAGTGGCAAAAGAATGATTCACAAAACCTGGCATTCTTGTCTCTGCTTGGTTCTTGTTTTTTGAGGTTCTTGGTTGTTTGTTTTCAATTAGTCGTGGTGAATGGGTGGCAACAGAACAAAAAAAGAACACTCGTCAGCCCAGCACAGGCACGTTGATGTAGTCGTTGTAGTGCAGTGCAATGTCGCTGGTCAACCCCCCCGGCCGCAAGACCAGGTCCAAGGCCTGAACGAAGAACCACGATGAGCACGCGTGTGAGCGAGGCAAATGGGCAGCCCAAAGCAACACTGCTCACACGGCAGGGAGAGCACAACAAACCTGTTTCACAACCGATGTGTCCATGAAATCAGACTGGGCCACCTCTGTCTCGCTGACGGCCGTGCCCTCGACCGCACTGGCATAAACCTGACAGTCGGTCGCGCCAAGAACAGATGAGCACGGTTGCCGCGAAGCCAGCGTACTCGGCGTATTCGGCGCCGCCGCACCTGAGCACAATGGTTGAACTGAATTCGCCAAAGCAACGCCGTGGCGCCAGTGGGAGCGGTATCTGTGGGACCGTGGGCATCAAAGAGCGAGCCGGACCCTGGTGCATAAATGTCGAGGGCAAACTGCACACCAGCCGGAAAATTCCGGTTGAATGAGATGCAGCATTCACGCAGCTGGCAAAAGTCAGGCAGGGCAGTTACTGCCCAAGGCCGCAGCGCCAAATGATTTTAACTACACGAACCGAGAGGTCTGGATTGGAAGTGCTTTCAATGTAGAGTCGTCGTCGCACATGCACCTTCCAACCGGCCTGACCGTCTAGAATGCGCAGCAGATCGTCCAGCTCGCTTCGAGTACCCAGCTCTACCCCAGAGCGCAAACCCGCATCGTCCCGGCGTAGTATCCAAAGCACCACAACCAATCAGGGCAGACGGGAAGCAAACGATGAGGAGCGTCTCAACTGCATGACGCCATACCTTGCTCATCGCTCAAGGCCAGGAGCTGAAAGCCAGGTGTAAACAAAGGCTCCAGATCACTGCGACGAATGGTCTTGGCCCCAAGAATTTCGTTGACGCGATCGGCCACCTGACACGCACGGTACGAGCGTGTGAATCAAGGCCGCGACAAAGCAAACATGTATTTGCCAAGCAAGGGGCGGGTACACAGACCATGACAGCGTTTATGGACATGGGCCTGCCGAGCCATGTCGATCATCGGCAGTGGGGACATGTGAGCGCTTGATGACAAAGCCAGTGGTGCGAGGTCAGGTGAGTGGGCAAGAGTGCTTACGGCTGGGCCTCCTCGACCGGAGCTGGAGCGGGCTCCTTGGCCCGAGCGTGCTCGCGGTCGCGACGGCTGTGGTGGTCTCGGCGCTCATCACGCCGCCGGTCATCGTAATCACGCCGCCGGTCATCGCGTTCATGGTAGCGACCCCGACGATCATCGCGGTCTCGACGTCGCTCGTCGTAGTCACGGCGTCGGTCATCGTAGCCACGACGTCGGTCATCGTGGCCACGCCGACGGTCGTCGTAATCGCGTCGGCGCCGGTCGTCATCATGCCGGCGTCGGTCATCATGGCGATGGTGTGAGCGACGATCGTCCTGCTTCTCACGACTGTCTGATCGGCGTTCCCCGTGGCTGTCGCGAGCTGTGGTCTTGGCTTCTTCAGCCTTGGCCTGGGCCGCCTGCTCGGCAGCTTCGGCTTGTCTAGAATCAACACATTAACCAGTATCACCATCAGCATGTATGGAACTGGAGCCAAACGGTAAAAAGCCAGTGCGTGACAGAGAAACAGAGATAACCAACTTCTTGGCAGCCAACTCCTGCTTGCGCTTCTCAAAGGCCTGTGGACACATGCGGTAGAGAGAGCAGGCCTCGGACCCTAGTGAGACATTGTGCCCGCGCGCCAAGTCGCAAAGGCACGCGGCCGGGACCCACCGCAAAGTTTTTATCCAGCAGATCAACGTCGCCCCATGGGTCACGATATTCAACCTCGGCATCGGTTGCCGCCGCCTCCTTGCGCCCAGCCATGGTGCAGCAATGGAAGCACTGGAACCCGCCCGGCACCTCCGTCGCGCGGAACTTTTGTACCAAACTGTTCACTAATTTCGCCTGCTGTACAACTTAAATTGTCAGCATTGGGCGGAAGCTTTTTGCAATAATTTGAATGGTTGAAGTGGAAAAAGTTGTGCAAGACTGGTTTAATCTTCCAGCAAATGTGATGCAAGTTGTGCCTGCTGAATGTCACATGCGATTGAGGTGTGTGGCGATCCTTTCACACGTGTGTGGTGCGATCCCCTTTATAACCCCTGCACGGGCGACGTGCATGTGTGACGAATGTCCCGGAAGTGTGTCTATGCATGTGTCTGGTGTGTATGAGTAACAACCAGGACTTGCGGTGGATCGTGGACGGCTCGGCCGGCGGAGCTTCATTTTTACCTCTGCTGCCGCTGCGATTGACTGCTTGGTACGTGGTAACCACACCTGGCGTTCTGTCTGGCCATTCGATGCGTGTCTGCCGCTTTTCATCTGATGTGACACCTGCCGCCGTTGTCTTTGCAGTGCTGATCGGCCTCGGGTGAAACAAAATCAAGCTCCACCACCACACAAGGTACGCTCGTTACGACCCAGTTGTTGCAGCCTGGAGCAGCCTGGCTGCGCACCCCTCTTTGTTTCCAACCCTGGTCTCAGACGGCGAACCCTCCCCATTCACACGCCACCACGCCACCACGAGCATGGGCACAAATGCACCACACTCGGCAAGGCATGGGAGGGCATGGGGAGGATCAATATGTTGCCACAAAAGATTTTCCCGGTCCGATCCGCTCTCATGGCACCTCGTGGACTGCTTTGATGCAGATGGGTTTGACACCGCGTCCCCCGCTCAAGGTGCGCATTGCCCTGTTCTTCCGCAAGTGCTACAAGTGCGCCTGCTGCAAGTAAACCGATCGGCCCCACCAGCCCCCCGGACCTGCCACCACCATCGCGGCCCAGTCACTTCTTTAAATCGTTGTCATCATTTTTTATCCCCAACATGCCTAATTTAATACAATGACAATGTCACACTTTGAAAAGAAAGTCCACCAGATACATGTAAATCAAAGCATCCATTCAAAAGCCCCTTGTCCTCTACATCCGATGACTTTAAAACGTTAAACTTTAAAACTTTAAACATTATATCCCCTGTCCTGTCAAATTATGGGGGGGCTGATACACACGGTATGTGATTACTTATGTCATTCGAATGTGTGGCCTATCAGGATGAAGATCGGATTGCTTCTTTCTAATTTTTTTTTTTTTTTCACGTGCAACGCCGTCATCATGGAGCGCGGGGTGGTGGTGTGCGGGCTGGTCGTGGTGCTGGTTCTAGCGGTCGCTGATGCCACGATGAGCAATCCCGGGCCAACAGTGTTTGCTCCCAATACCACGGCTGCGCCCACAGGCGAGCCCGTCATTTATTCGGGTTCAGTTGGATGTTCGCTGAACGTGCCCTTGAATGTGACGCATGTTCTCGGCGACATCACCTTGATCTCATGTGGATTTTTGACGGCAACGAATCTCAAAGTGCTCAACCAGCTCGTTGGAGTGAATGGCAGCTTCTTCATCGGGGCGGGTTGAACACGGCACTGCCAGTTGCATGCATGGCGCCGAAGCACAGGCGATGCTGGACGTGTGTCCTTTTGTTTTATTGTTTGTTTTTCGTGACTCCTCTGTGTCTTGAGTGCAGGGGATGCCTTTTGAAATAAGAAAAGGAACGCAGGTGTTCTGCGATGGGGTATCTGGTGCTGAGATCGTTTTAATGTGATCTGGGAACAAGTATGAGTGGCAAGACGGGAGGGCTGGCGTGGTGATATCAAACAACTGGGCGATTTTGGCTGTCAGTATGGGTGGGGGTTGCACGTTGTCTTTGCATGATACCGTGAGCCCCATGCGTTTTGCATTCAGTCGGCACATGATGTGAACCTCGATTTTTTGTTTGCTTGCATGGTAGTGTCCCGGGTCATGCCAAGTTCAGAATATTACAAGAGTGTTGCAGATAGCGAAATGCCCTTCCGGTATGATGTACCCACCTCACGTGAAACCAGCCAACTGGCCCGCATGTGCGCACAACTCATGTGTCTTTTATGCTTCAAATCATATGCACGCAGATGGATGGCACTCGAGTGCTTGGTGGCGCGGCGATATTCAGAGCGCTCGGATGTTTGGGCGTTCGGCGTCTTAGTGTGGGAACTGGTCACCGCTGGTGCGACTCCCTGGAAGGGCTTGAGTCTACCTGCTATTATTCAACAGCTCCAAGCGGGTGCCACGCTACCACTCCCCCAAGGGCTCCATTAATTGCACAGCGGTGGGTTTTCTCATGGTATTCCTTTTGCTTTCAAGATGTGTCGGGCTGGTGGCAATCTCACAAATCCAATTTACACGTGAGACAGCATAGCTGCAGCCTGCTTTCGAGCCGCTCCGGAGACTCGATCTTCTTTTGCCCAGTTGCTCGACTTGCTTCCGGCACAACAAAGCACCGCCTGGGTTTGTGACGCGTTCAGCGGCTGGCCGTGCGAATGGACCCATTTCTGCTTGTCGCCTGGCATGTCTCCCTACATTGGAACCATGCCCACTGTCTCATTATTCTGTTGTTCATTTTGTGATACCAATAGAATGTGGCCAATGTGTTGGCCTTGCACGACGAAACGACGCTCTAGCTCAGGCATCGAACGAATGAGTGGTACGCGCGCGCACGAACAGGCAGTGTACTCTGAGCCCGGAAACGAAGTCAACAGGGCCCGGACCTCTCTGACCTCATCAATTGATTCATCATGCCTGCTCCCTAAGCAACTCCCTCATGGTCTTTCGATGTCATTTTCGAGGGGTTCATTTGAAAAACATCGGCCAAGTAAAATACTTTGACACACACACACACACACACACACACACACATGCGCGCGTGACTGACTGTCTGTGTGTGCGATTGAGCAGAATATGGCAGCGCGGGTGATGATGCGCCGGGCGGTGCAGCGGCGACAGCTGCTTCGCGTTCGGCAGCAGAGGCGGCAGTTATTAGCCGCTGTAACATCCAGCAACATGCCACTCTCCCCTTTGGAGGGTCCCACCCGGTTTCAGTTTGGTACGTACCTCGTTTCGTGACATTGCCAGGGTCAGCGTTGCTTCTCATTCGACCTCCTGAATGCGCGACCAACTCCTCTAGCCCATTGGGAGCCGTCCAGTTCTTTGGAAGTCGAGTTTCGCCGCCAGGGCGTACAGAATGCCGCACAAAAGGCCACCATTGTGCTCACCGCCTGCAAGGATATCAAGGAAGAACATCGTGAGCCATGTGCTGCTGCTGCTGCTCTTGCTTCGCGTGTCCTCGTGCACGGAGAGCGAATGCTTGCCGTTGGCCCGCACCTTCTTGCTCATGTTCGCATGCCCTACCCCTGCTGCATCCTGCCGGCTTGGATGCGCGCGTGTAGTTGTTGAGCGCGCTGACAACATTTTCGAGCTCCTCTCAAACGCACCCTTGTATCTGTCCACCCAGCGAGTTGACGACATGATGACAAACAACCCCCAGGTGCGACTAGACGAATGCAGCGGGTAATCTTGCACATTGCTGCTTGAAAAGCACCGCGGCTGATGGTTTGGTGCTCAATTCGAGTGCCGGTTCCACCATCATGGTCAAGCCACGGCCGTGCGAGTTGGTGGATCGATGGGCAAAGGGAACCATGGCCATTCCTCGTCCGTTCCAATGACGCTCATACCAACCTGCCCATGTCTGCACACACGCGCGCACTTGCACATTACGCAGGCTCTTTTGCCTGACTTTGACGTTGCTCAAGCAAGACGCTTTCTTCGCCTGGCTGGTCAAGCCGTCAGCGTTGCCGACCTCTCGACCCTTGTACGTGCATGCTCAAGACCCATTTTCACTGCGCAACACCTGCTGTCTGGTATCCCTTCTGTTCGAGCGGCTCGGCCTCACCTTTGTCGCCGTGACAGCTGGATCGATTTCCGTCGGCTCTTCATACGCACGAGTCTTTTGAGCAGTGCCTCAACCTCTTACAGGAATATGGCCTCTCTGAATTGGAAGCTGTACGCCCGATCATGCGTGCCGCTCGCCCCGGCCGTCGTGTTGCTACGCTCCGTTGATCTCTCATACCCCTGGAACGCCATTTTTCTTTGATCCCCGTCCCACCCCCCTTTTTTTTCCTCTCCAGTTCCGGGCCGTCATCATGGGCCCCCGCAAGCTGGCGTTTGCCCAGCGCATCCGTCATGGTTCAACTATGCTCAGATATCGACTACAAACTTTACGCCAATTCATGGGCCCACAACAACTTGTAGATCTTCTTACTCTCAGCCCCGAGGTTCTCCGGTGGGTGCTCGCCCAAACCGACCCGTTTCGTTGCGCCACCTGGCGCAGCCTTCTCACCTGCATGCGGCTTCAGGTACCCCGTGGGCTACACATACATCCGGTTATTTTGCTTCCACCTTGCCAATCGCCCGCTCTCGGCAAGTGAGACTGGCCACCTGCTGGCATACAATGTAAGATTGATGGGCCTGATTGGCGTGCCGCCGTGCCTTTCTTTTGTCCTGGGGACCGGCCGTGCTTACTTGTTGTGTCATGGCGACTAGTCACCCTCGTGGGAAGCCCTGGGTGAGGACGTCATCGAAGAGCTTCAGGTATCCTTCAATACTAAAGTTTACCCGCGTCAAGTCTGCTTTGCTGCCTTTTGAGGTCATCTCATCACCTCTGTCTTCCTCGGTTCTGATGTATTGTCTACTGCATGTTGATAGCAAGTCATGCAACCGCTGAGCATGCACCATGAGACGCGCGATACTCCCGACCTCTTGGTAGGCCCTTCTTCCTGATCTGTTCGCCTCCCCTGCATGAGCCATTCATTTGGGCGGTGCATGCTTCGCTGACGTATTTCTCATATGCGCGTTTCTGTGTGGCTGGTCTGCGGCATGTATGTGGGCCGCGTGCTGCTCAGGAGGTGGAGCTGCTCATTTCACACGCACTGGCCAACCGCATCTGCGACCGCGTCAAGCAGCTGCCGAGTGATCTTGTGCACGGCTTTGCCAAAAAGGAAGCCAACCAAGCGGCAGCAGATGCCGCTGCTCAGGCCCTGGTACATGCCAATGCTGCCGCTGCCTCGCAGTCGGATTACGACCTGGCAGAAGACGACTTTTTCTTTGTTGACGAAGTATTTGACGACGATGAGGATGAGGACGAGGACGGGCATGAGGCTGTTGATGAAAATGAAAAGCCTGGCTCGGCTGGTGGCAGCCCCGACAACCACTCGCACTTGGTTTCCTATCAAGTCGGAACGGAGACCGCAGACACTAGCGATTCGGCCAGGTTCAAGAACGATGACTTCTGGGACTTTGAGGAAGAGAGCGTATGATCATGACAATAACCTCGCAGCCTTGGATTTGTAGCTATCAGCACTGTCTATGATTGTCTGCAAGTCCTGGTCCGCACCTTTCTAAGCCAAGGCACAAACCAGACACGCGACTGAACAACACATTTGCATCGTGCAATGCCCTCCGCCGACAACAAGGAGCAGAAGAAGCGCATTCAACTAAGCTGCGTATAGTACAGAGACGTGTCGTGTTGTGTTGTGCGATAAAACACAATTCAAACACAACAACAAAAAGAAATTTCACGTGTTGTGACCGTTACGCTGATCCAAAAACTTTTTTTTTTCTTCTTTTTTCTTTTTTTCAATACTCTCTCCTGCCCGCCCCCCTCCTCTCTCGCTCTCTCGCTCTCTCCTTGAAGGACGCCTGCATGAACACAGGCGGTTTTGACATTCTTGTCGGTGAGAGGCGCGGCAGAGCCGTGCAGTAGCGGGCAGTGACCGAGCTGAGCTGCAAGAGGCTGCGCCGTGATGGAAGGTACGATCTGAGCTTTCGGACTTGACTTGGTGTTTGGGCAGGCAGGCCCCCTTTGATGATATGGTTGTCTGCTCTTGCCTCCCAGTCGATCGCGCCGATGCCAAGCGTGGGACCAACACGCTGCTTCATCCCCCAGCTTGCACACCGGGAGGCTGGGAGGCGTCGAGCTGCCATGACCAGCTCGAGGGCGACGATGGTCGCCCTGCCTGCAAGCAACAACGACGCGCTCCGCGCACGGTTGACATCCAAGGTTTGGCAACGCTCATGCCCAATTCCAGTTGCGTGGGCTTTGCTCGTGATTTTCCATCACTCGCTGCGACGCTGGGACACTTTAGAACATACTTTGCGGCTGCTTTTTGCTGGAGCACGACGGCTATCCGATTGCCCTGTCCAAACGTTCATTTGTCACGGATGTCAAGCTCTGCGCCCGTGTCAAGCCGATCGGTGCTTGTGCGGCCAGCCGCTCTGTGCCGACTGCAGCTTAAGCTGCGCTGGCTGTAGCCAATCGGGCTGCATTTTCTCCCTCGGGCGACCCTCTGGTGTGTCTGCCTGTCCACCCAACCTGTACCCTCGTTTGTGTAGGTTTTGACTGACAGCTGTGACTGACTGCGCCCTTGCCTGCTATCTTGGACATAGTATTGTCAGCAGCGCGATATTGCCCGGCATGCCTCGGCACCATGAGAGCACCTCCCATGCAGGTGGAGCAGCCCTGCCAGGAACACACACCCCGGCTAGAACAATACTTTTCCGCAATCCCGAGCGGGCCTGGCTCCCGCACCTAGCGTGCTGCTCAATGCTATTCGGTAGAGGACATTGAGACGGGAGGTAAGCCGTTGAACGGCCCTGGCGTATCACCAAAACGAATTGAGCGCCTGACGAACAAGATCATGCACTGCTGCGCGTGTTCCCAAATTCTCCATTCCTGTACCCCGCTGGAGGCGCATGCTGCCTTAGACCGGATAGGCAGTTGGGTTGTGATTGGCATAGATATGAACGGGGGTGGAACACCGAGAGGGCTGGGGTGGCTCAAACACTCGACTCGGCTTGATGATAGTCGGTTTAGCGACTCACATGTCAATCAGAGATACATGGACGAACATATTGCACGGCGCTTATGCACATGACAAAAGATCAGAAGCAAACACACGATGAAAACAATCGAGGAACCGCGACAGGGATCTGGGTGTTGCGCTGGCTGTTAGTGGGGGATCGACAGGAGGAGTGGAGCACCCTACTCCGCCTTTTTGGTGTCCTTGCGCCCAGCGGGGGCACTGTACGACTTGATGTAGAAGGATCCAAACAGGTAGAGCATGGTGCACATGTAAAAGGCAAGCATGAGCTTGATCCATTCGGGATAACTGTAGCCAGGACCACCGAAGATGCCGAGCAGGGCCTGGGCCAGAATGGCCAAGAATTGCACCAGCTGCATCTGGGTCAGGAAGGGCTTCCACCAAGTCTTGATCTGCCAGGGGTGATGCAAAATCGGGTGCGCACAATGCATGGATGAAGTGAGAATGCGGGACCACCACATGCGTTTTGCATCAAGCTAGCTAGCATTAGCTGAAGGAAAGGGCAGTCACCGGGGGGTGTCTGCCTGGTGCTCACCTTGAAGGTCGCGCACAGATAATGCGAGTACCTACAGATGGTGACGGGACCAAGATCAAACAGAAATGAGCGTGAGGGAAATGGCAGGGGAAGAGCACGTGGCTGTTGGCAGGCATGATAAGGGGAGGTTGGCGGAACGTACATGAAGACGTGGACCAGGGCGTTGAGAAAGGCTATCGAAGACACGGGAAACGAGCGCGCAAAAGTAGGGGGCACAACAAAAACAAGTGAGGGGCCGCTGTCAAGAAGCGCCTTTCAAGAAGCGCCTGCTTGCCCGAGACAGCGGCGTATTCAATGCTGAGCGGCGTTGTAGGGACGTACAAGGCCAGGCGAGATCGCCCGAGAGGCCGTAGACAATGAAGCTGCGGGTGACAATGGTGATGGAGCAGTGATGGTAGATGTGCAGGAATGTCACTTGGCGCCACGACTTGCGGGCGATAAAGATGACGGTATCCAGGAATTCCCAGAACCTGCAAGTCCGACGCGTTGTGAGTGAGGCAGGATGATAGGAATGGACCTTGTTCTTGGTCCAAGTAGATCCCATGGGGCGCAGGGTTTCTCGGGAAAGCAGGCGTACTTTTGAATGTAGTAGAGCCAGCAGTAAAAGTGGAGGTGGCGACCGGCTTCAGTGTTGCGCTTGATCATGTCTGGGTTGCCCACAAAGGAGATGAACTGGTAACGGATGCAGTACTCGACCATTCCATAACAGACGGCGCCGGCCAGAATTACGCAGCTGGCATTGTACAGGCTATCAAGATATGAAATGGCCCGAGTGAACAGAGTGAGGATGTTATCACGGTGTTGGCCAGGGGTGCGCGAGATGAGCTGTGGGGGGAAGGAGTGACAGACCGCATAAAGGTGGTGGGGTTGAAGGGCTCGCGCTGCTTCATGTACAGGGTGAAGGCGCCAATGAAAACGAGGTAGGCGACGTTGGCCAGAACCAGACTCTGAAAGTCGAGCATGGGGAGCTCGAGGTCGGTCTCGCCGCGTGCGGCCCGAGCCTCATAGCCGTTGAACGAGTCCTCAAAGCTCTTTTGGAAATACTCAACAAGACCCGCCATGGTACCGGTGCTGCTGATCGCGGGGCAGGGGAAGGGCCACATTTACAGCAGTGAGCTCAAGCCGGCAAGCAGGTCACAACAAGTCGGGGAGGAAAGGAGAAGAAGGTGGGAGGGATGGAAATCGCCGACGCCATTTCAGGTTTCCACACACACACTCTCTCTCTCTCTCTCTCTCTCTCTCTCTCTCTCTCTCTCTCTCTCTCTCTCTCTCTCTCTCTCTCTCTCTCTCTCTCTCTCTCTCTCTCTCTCTCTCTCTCTCTCTCTCTCTCTCTCTCTCTCTCTCTCTCTCTCTCTCTCTCTCTCTCTCTCTCTCTCGCTCTCTCCCACACAAATTGGAGAAAGGGCGTGGGCGGGGCGGGGGCGGGGGTGTAGTGGGTCGTGGATGATCAGAGGGGTGTGTTGATGGATTTGGCCGGTGGATGATCAACGACAGCACCGTCATCCCATCGGGCAGCGGGAGCAGGAGATAGATGGCTGTCTGCCATAGCCGAGTCCCAAGCCCACTCCCACCACGGACAAAACACGCGACGGGGTGATGCTCATCCAATGGCAGCCACCCCAGATCCAGCATCAACCATGGACAAAGCAACACATTGATACGTGGACGGTACTCATCAGAATAGGAGAGAGGGAGAGAGGGAGAGAGAGGAGCAGCGGGCAGCCCATATGATTCAACGGTCCCGGGGCCCGGGGGCGGAGGGGCTCGGTTACCTTCTTGCGCGCGCGACACACACACACACGAGAGATCAAAAAAGTAAAAAAAATATTTCAACACACACACACACACACACATCATACACAACATTTGTCATGGAACTCATCTGCATAAAGTCTCCAGTTTGCTACATCAACTCGGATATATATGAGCTTATATGGTTACTATATCTGGTTGAAATCGTAGTTTTTCTTATATATCTATACATGTTTTGAATTGTTAGGTCGGCCTTGCTCAAGTCCCATGCGCACCTTTGCGTGCCGATGCGCGCGCGCATACAGATGAGAGGCGCAGATGCATGCAACTGGAGGATGGAATATGATGCTCTGGACGCAGATGCGAGGCTGTGGACCACACGGTGCCAGGCGCGCGAGTACACACACACAACACACACTCCGACGCAGCAGCGTTCAGTAGCTGGCGGACACCTACACATCTCGAGTGCCAGCTCTAGGCAGGGTCATGAGTGGCGGATCATGGTATTCTAGCAGCTTGGAACATCTCCTTCTCCCCTCATTCTCCAAATCTCACAGACTTCCCCGGAACGGCCCTCGGTTCCTTTGGGCATGCACGCGTGTCGTGGATACGGCTGTGTATCAGTTCCCCCATAGAGCCGAGTCAGTGACATGAACCCTAAGACAACAATAACCGCCATCAGGTGATATTCAAAAGCGCCGCCCTCCCCAGTTCACCCCAACATCGCCATTGTACGTGTACCACTGCCACAGCGACCAAACTCATGCCCAAACAGCCAGCAACCGGCCCTCAGGGGCGCTGCCACTCGTCAGGATAAAATGGTGCAAGGATTACACAATTCATCTCTCTCTCTCTCTCTCTCTCTCTCTCTCTCTCTCTCTCTCTCTCTCTCTCTCTCTCTCTCTCTCTCTCTCTCTCTCTCTCTCTCTCTCTCTCTCTCTCTCTCTCTCTCTCTCTGTTGATGTTTTTTTTTTTTTTTGGCGGAGTGGGCGCAGAATGTGAGATATGTAAAAATGGCAGGGCCTTTCTGCCAGCGACGACAGAGACGGCCGCCTTGGCGCCCGATTCGGTTAGGTCAGGGGCTAGCTCATGGGCCGTTGCGGTAGCACCCCTATGGGCCAGCCATGGAACTCAGTCATGTGTGTGCGTGTGTATCTGTGCACGCTGCCGGGTTTGCCTTGTTGGACATGTTTCGAGATCACGCCATTTCCAGCGCACCTCTTCAATTTGAAATTCATTCCCTCTTTCTTCAACTTTTGGGAATGTCAGATGGGAACAAACTGGCTATCGCTTCGAATAGATTAAATCGTGTCCAGCTATTCAAAATCTTGATCCCGTCTCCCTGCCTTGTTCTGTCACCTTCTCTCGAGGTTTCAACCCTTTAAGTGTGTGTGTGTGTGTGTGTGTGCCAACGGTTTTTTTTACCCTCATGCCCTCTCTCTCTCTTTCGCTTTCTCGCTCTCTCTCTCTCTCGCTCTCTCTCTTGTGGCAGCGGTTCAGTGGTCAGTGGCATTTTTCCCCCCCACGCCCTGTGGTGTAGTGCTTGGCGCGTTGGTTCAAACAAGGACCATGCGGGACAAGACCACGTGTGCAGTGAGCCCTCTCCCTTGTGGCTGCTGTGGTACAACGGCAGTGGACGTGCAGCCGCCCTAGCTTTTGCAAAGGTCCGGTGGCATGGCTGCTGCACCACATTCTGAACTTTCTCCCCCAAAAGATGGCCAGCAAGGCGCCGTCACCCCACCACCTCAGCGCTCGGCCATCTCTGGCCTTGTAGCTGGTGCGTGCAGTGGCACGGCCTCTGTCCTCCTTCTCCAACCTCTGGATGTCCTCAAGACACAGGTCCAGACTCAGCACAACCAACGGTGTGTTTTGTGAAACTTTGGTGCCGTGCCATGACTTGAATGACTGCCTCTTTGTGGTACTCACTTACCTTGCTCGTGTGTTTTGTTTCACAGATATGTGCAGCTCGTGCGCAACATCTACCAAACTCGTGGCGTGCCCGGTTTTTGGAAAGGTGTCATGCCCTCCCTGTACCGGACTGTTCCCGGCGTCGGTCTCTACTTTGCCACTCTTCATACCTGGCAAAAGATCTCTCCTTTGAATGGGCATCGATTCCACAGCATGCTGGATGGCGCACTGGCCCGCAGCTTGGCCTCGATAGCCCTCATGCCGTTCACCGTCATCAAGACCCGGATGGAGAGCAATCATTTCCAATACCGAAGTGTCAGTCATGCTGTCATTGACATCTGGCGATCCCAAGGCATACGTGGTCTCTACCGCGGCACTTTCGCCACGGTAGTACGCGATGCTCCATATTCTGGACTCTATCTGCAGCTCTACCGCTGGTCTACCCAGGCAATTGAGCCTTGGACTGGGACTCAGACCATGGCTCAATCGTTTGTGGGAGGGTTGATGGCCGGGCTGCTCGCCAGCCTCGTCACGCAGCCCATGGACGTTGTGAAGACGCGCCTGCAGATTGATGTTCTGGCCGTCAGTACTTGGCGTACGCTCGTGAATATTTGGCAACAAGATGGCGTCAATGGCCTCTTGCGAGGTGCCGTGCCTCGTATTGCACGCCGTGCCTGTGTGGCTGCCATCAGCTGGACCGTCTACGAGCGCGTTGTCCTCTTGTGGGGGCATCGGACCTGAGGGGTACTCAAGATTGAGCCTCAACTCTTTTTGGTAAGCCATGTTTACATGTTGATTTTCCTTTTTTGTTTTTATCAGCTGTGATGTTTTTTGAATTTCTTCACCTGATCTACATGAAGAGCATAACCGAGCTTTTTAACCCTGAGCTGATGTTTTCCATCCAAGTGCTTCCCCGAGGCCCAACCCATGGTTTTGCTCATGCTTGATTTTTCAATTGTGACAGGCTGTCCACTCCCGTGCTTGAGCAGAGCAGTGGTCTACACGACTCTTTTACAGCTCAGGTAATTTTAATTGGGTGCGATTTTTGTTTCTATGCTTGTAATATGTGTGGTTGTTTGGAAGTGACGACTGTCTTCATTTCCCCAACGCATTGACCGTGACGACAAAGGCGCCTCGCTTCGCGCGAAGGTGCCAAAACTGTAACTTTTGCCAGTTTCTATGCTGATCCGAACGCCACACGTGTCCGAGTTTTGAAATAATCAATTGTGGAGCTTTTCCGGCCATCTCACTTTTGTTCTTCTGTCGCCTTTTGCTGTGCTGTAGTGGTCAATCGTTCAGAGAAGTTATTTTTGTTGGCAGTTTGACAAATCCACCTGGTGAGTCCTTGCTTCCAAGTTCCTACTTGTGTGTGAGCACCTGGTTCAGGTTGAAGTGATGACTGTCTTCATTTCCCCAACGCATTGACCGTGACGACAAAGGCGCCTCGCTTCGCGCGAAGGCGCCAAAACTGTAACTTTTGCCAGTTTCTATACCTGATCAACATTCTGAACCATCTCTTCTTATTGTCTTGCATGTCTGTCATCTTCCACATCTCACAAATCAACCTCCTTCCGCTCAACTTTCGTAGTACAATGATTCTTTGGAGGCTTGCCAGCACACTCGGCTCCAGCAACAATCAAATTCTTGTTCTTGTTGACTCGAATTGACCACAAACCTTTCGCATTATCTCTCCAAACTCCCATCTTTATGACATGATTCACTGACATGAGGAGGAAATGAAGTCCATCGAAAAGTCTTGGATTGTTGTCGGGTTCACATTGTGTCTTGAAACATGGCTGCTCAGCAACCATGTAAGCTCCACGACTGCGCACCTCTACCCGCTACAAAGATTGCATCCCTACAAAGCCAGAGCAGATCGTCAGCAACGGCGGGGGACACCAGGATTTAGTCCTGAAAGCTTACTTGTGGACCGCCGCCGCTTGCACATCGTGAACGGCCGCCACTACCGCTTGCACAAGCACGAGAGCTCCCTGCAAAAAAAACGAGTACTACCCGGTCAGCCAGTCGGAGCCTGACGGAGCCTGACAGATGAGACATTGCAATGGAAACAACAGTACGAACGTTGTGATAACGCCAAAGATTGACACGGCAGTCAGCGCCGCTGGAAATGAAAAGGCCAGAGCCAGCCTGAGCCAACGCCGTGGCACCAGCCGAGTGGGCACGTGGCAAACGGGTCTGGGCCCGAACCGCGTCCGCCTCCCAGGACAGTTCGGTCACCACCACGGCATTGTCATCACCACACGTGGCCAGCCACCGCGCTGCACAGAGTTGCAGTCGCCGTTCAAATGGTGAGGTGTTGTGAGAAAACTAAGCCGCGCGTGCTCCGGCACATAACAAACGATACGGCCAGGTGCTCACCTCCCTCCGGCACGGGTGCGGGTATCACAGCCATGGCGTTGATGCCCGACTGATGCACGCCATCAATAACCGTCATGGGACCTGGCGCTTCCGCCGGGGCTTGACTGTCAATCGTGGACAAATCTGTCTCTTGAGTCAGAAAAGATGCCCAGTCATATAGCGCAACTTGACCCCGTGTATTGGCGGCCATGAAGCGGCCAGAGTGAGAAGCCCAAACAGCTGTCGACAGCCAACACCTGCAAAGGATCCAAATGCAGTCAAGTTTTAAACTTCATTCCACGCTCTTGAGGCACACCCTCCAACTGAAGGAAAGTTGAGAAAAAGCAAACCCGAATGAACAGAACCGGCGCCTTGCACGTACCAGGGCAGCTCAAGCGAGCGACCGAGATGATGCAGGCGACGTGTCTCCAAATCCAACCGTAGGCCAATCAGTTGCCCATTTGAGTAGCCGGCCACCAGGTCGATGCTCGAGTTGGTGGTCTGCAAAACTTCGAGGGCCATGACACGCGCCTCTTGCCAAGCCTGATACCGCAACCAGTAGCTGGACGGCCAGCAAGATTGCAGCTGCCATTGTCGGCTATCAGGACCAGGTACGGACCACGCCTTGACGCGGCCATCGCCACAACCGACAAACACCACCGTGCCCACCCTCTGCCAATGCCATGTGAGGTGAGCGTCGAGTGTACTGGCCTCGAGAGCTGGACGAGAAAGGGAGGCTAAAAGCTGAGGAACAAAGGCGCAAAGCTGAGCGAGCCACGTACCGGGTGTTGCACGTGAGTCAAGCAACGGATGACCGCGGTTTCTCGAACAAAGGAAGCTAATTGCAGCTGCAAAAGTTGATCGTGAGAACGAAACAGCAAACCAGCGCGGCAATCAGCTCGCACCTAGAACGAACGTATGGCGCAAAAGCCAGGAGCCAGAATCAAAGAGCCAACCTCATTTTTGTGCTCGCCCAGCCGCCATACACCCAGCTGAAGATCCTCCGCCCCCGTGATTGCCATGCCCTAGAAAGGAGGGAGAAGGGGCACATATCAGTCCACTTGTCGGCGCCCGTCAGTGCGAGGAGTATGCACGGACCATACCAGGTGAGGAATCAACTCCACGGCATTGCATACGCGGCCGTGAAAGCGAGTGCCCAGCTGCTGAGTGGTATTGCTGCCCGCCAAGGTCTGCTGCCAATGGACCTGACCCCCGCGCAAATACAACAGTAGCATGCCTTGCTCACTTCGCTGCCAATGATATGAGCGATGGCCACCCCCAATGTCCAGTCGAAATTCCTACGTTGATGCAGAGCAGTTGGAAAATGGGCCATGCACACAAGCAAATACAAGACAGAAATGAATGCGCGTTCGGTCGCGCGTGCGTATGTGCGTGTGTAGCCATGCGTTACATTGTCGCGAACCCCAACACCCAATGCAAGGGTGCTCACCAAATGTCCTGTGGCTGCTTCCAGGCAGACAAACTCGTTTTTGATAAAGCCGTGAAGATATTGGACGTTGGCATCCACATCCAACTCCAAGCCGGCAATCCAATCCACTTGACGATGTAGGCGAAAGCGAGAAGCCAGCTCCAAACGCAAAGCACCAGTTGAAGGACCAGCCAGTCGACAATTGAGGCGGCAGCAGTAACCATCGCGCCCGCTCGTCATAAGCTGGAGCCCGCTTGAGCCAGGGCCTGCAACCTCGGCCTCATCATCACCCTCGTCACCCTCATCATCAGTGCAAGGAAGGACACGGATCGAGGTGAGGGAAGATCGACCATGGACGCACAACTTGCCACAACTGTTCCAGTCGGCTACATGCGGGGCTTCGTGTGTGACGTCGGGGCGGGCATAATGGTGGACGTAGCCCTGTCGATCCCCGAGAAAGAGGTTGGCCTGGGCGCCATCAATGGCACAGCATTGCACGGCGGTGCGCGGGTCCGTGTGCTGAAATTGGGCGAGAACCTCAACATGCCCACTCTGCACTCGAGCCAGGACAAAATGGCCCCGTGCATTCCCGAGCACCAGCAGGCTGTCGGGTAAAACCTGAACAAACACCAAGCGCTCAGTTCCCACCTGGGTCTCAGACCACAGCGTCAAATCTGCACCACCAACAACCAGGACAAAGCCTTGAAGACCAGCAAGTACGGCAAAAGTTCCAGCCGGATCAACCCCCATGACGGCATAACGGGCCAACTGCGGACAGTGCCGTGTGGCAAGAGCAGATTCGGAAGGAGGACGGTTGGACTCTTGCGGGCGCTCAAACTCAGGCTGATGAGTAATCAGGTGCCCCTGCTTGCTGCAGACAAGAACAAAGCCGTCAAGCCAGGCGAGTTGATTGGGATGATCCTCCGCTGTGAGCCCAGGTACTGTCCATGCCCCATCCTGGATGCGGGCCTGCACATCCTGAGGCGCAGTGCTATGCAGCGTGAGGGCGCCATCGCCGCCTCCCGTGACGAGTTCCTGATCACCCCTCGTGTCCAGACTCCAGATCCCAAGACCACGATGACTCTGGAAACGACGGAGCCGCTCGCCAGTCCAACTCCAATAATTGACCACGCCATCTTCACCAGCAGTAACAATGAGGTGAGGTAGCAAGGCTGCTTCCCAAACGCGCGCCGTATGACCGTACAGCGTCAATATGGGCAAGGACTGGGCAGAAGGCCGGTGAGGACTCAAGTCTGCGGGCAGTTGATAGAGTCGAGCGGAGCGATCATCGCTAAGCGAAATGAGATGGCGCCGATCCGTGTCGAAGCGGACGTTAAAAATGACGCCATCGTGTCCGTCCAGCACCAAAACGGTGGACTTGACATGCTCTTTGGGTAGGGCGGTGTCCGTGTGGTCTGTTTGCGGCTCAATGCCGTCAAAAGGATACCACAGGTGGGTTTGGCGGAAGATGGTGCCTGAGGCAAGCACGAGGTCTCGGACATGAGAACCGTGATACCGGGCCGCGTATAGGAGACAGTTGACCTCACCCACGGCGCGCGCAACAAGTTTTAATTGTCCCTCGTGCGCATGGTCGTCCGCCGAGCCGTGCCAGTGATAGAGCTCGGCTTGATTGTGGCCCAGAGCCAGGGCCACGGCCAGCACACAGGGCGTCCCTATGCGCGCTGTATCATCACGGCACACATGACAATCCCAGATCCAGTCGCGTGCGGTGTGGCGGAACACCACGGACAGGCGTGGGGTCGACCCGTCCAGGTGCAGAGTCAACGCAACAAGCTCTTTGCCACCAACGGCAAGGAGCTGCACGGCGTCCTCCATCTGTGAGGTCGGGGCCTCGGGATCACTCACGCGCCGCAGCAAGTGCAGGTCGTGGATAGCCATCACCTAGCCAGATGCAGTAAATTAGCCTTGGTGGATGGCGCCGCAACAACCCAGCACACGAACATTTGGTCAGTTTGATCAGGGGCGCGCTGACAGACCTGTTGACGAAGCAGAAGCTGGGCGGAAGGCCGATCCCAGAGCTCAACCCATTGACCCTTGCCGGCCAAGGCCAAACGCGCTCCCAACAACAAGACGCCGGTGACTGGCGCAGCCAGGCCGGTGCACATGACGGCTGGCTCCGCCATTGCCACCGTCTGAACCAGCGATGCGGTTGCCATGGCTGTCACAATGTCGCCAACAGTCCCTCGATGGTGCCCAACGCACAACTTCACCGCCACCACCAAGTCGATCAAGTCGTAACTATTCAACGCCAAGCGCAGGAGCAGCAAAAGAAAAAAGCCAAGAAAGCCCAAAATGCCAAACAGCTCAACCCGCCTCAACCCGCTTCAACTCAGACCAGACGCAAGACCCGGTGGCCTTGACGCACAGCCGGCTGCCGAGGAAATGACGACGCGCACACTTGTGAGGGCAGTCAAGGCCCATGTGCTCCACCTGAAAACCTGTCAGCACAGGTTTTGAGAAGGTACGTCCCAGTCCACAAATGTCAGCTTTTCTCCTAAATGTCAGCCGTTTTGTCGGTGCGTATCATCCTAATTTTAGTCAAGATGTGCGCTGGGCCCGTTCACCCTAAAAATAACTCTGATGGACGGATTATCCCTATTTATAGCCCAATGTGTTCAAGACGTTTTGCTTGAGGAATACGCGAAAGAGATGTCACACACACACACACACACACACACACACACACACACACACACACACAGAGCGCGCTTGAGATCAACAAGGGGTGGGAGCCCTCGCTTTGTCGCTCTCCCCCCTCTTGCCCCCACTTGCTCTGCCCCCCCCCCCCCCCCCCCTCTGACTCAACTTGTCACCGGCGAAGCCGACATTTTCTCTCAACAACATCACCAAGCACAAACAAGAACCCCGACATGGAAGAGATCATCCAAATCAACGAGCTGCCGGTAGCACAGCACAAGTCCTTGCTCCGTCTAAGCCTCTACGCCACCGCCTTTAGTACGTCGGTTTCCAATGCCTTTCCTGAGCCCCCTGCGCTTGCCAGCCCTGCCCGTGTTGACATACCCCATGTGATGGGCTCACCCCCACCATCGTGGCCACCTTTGCTCTTCCCAAAGATCCTGGTACTGCTGCTCCGCGCCGCTTGAGGCTGCCCAAAGGACGTGCCCGAACCTTTCCAGATCTGCCCCTGGCCGTCATCACGCTGGTGCCCCGTCATCTTTATCAGCGTTACCCCCACCTTGCAATCAATCTGAGGGACGGTGAAATCGATGGCCGGGAGCGGGTGACTTGCAACCTTCGCAAAAACTGGAAAGTCTGGCTCCGGGCAGTGGGCATGCTGGCCAGTGGAGCATTGCCTTGTCCCTGCGAGGGCCAAGCGTCAGCCTATGGTCACTTGTACCAACCTCAAGAGCATTACATCCAGTGCCCGCTCAACTGCACCCGTGAGAATGTCCACTGCACATGTGGTCTCGCCCAGGTTTGTCCCTCCCTCAGCCACACAGAGAACAGAATGGTCACAATGTATCCATTCGCAAGCTCTCACCAGCGGACTGCCTTGATTTGTTTCCAATCATAGTTTGCCCAGAAGCTTGTCTGCATGTTCTTTTCCCTGCCAGAATGGGAGGCGATTGCTCGTGAGTATCCAAACTGCCTGACCTTGATCGACAGACTGCCCGCACCCACGTCCCCTCATCTAAACCGCACTACCGCATAGGCTTTGACAATGAAAAGAACATCAAGTTACAGCTTCGCATGCTGTTGAATGTATCCGATCGATACTTCGCTGACGCGGATGACCATCTCTTTGAAGAGAACGTCACCATGGTGAGCCGGCACCTCAGTCAGCATGGTTTGTGCCTGGAGCGTCATGACCGTTGCTTTCGGGTTCTGCGCCTGACATCAGATGGGCGCTGGCTTCCTGTGGCCAACCCCAGCCGCCTAGCCCGGCCACGACAAAACCAGTGCCGACGCCCGCGCGCCCAACAGCGCGCTCAACAGCGACAACACCGCCCACCCCCACACCAACGCCAACGCCAGGGCATTGCGCGTCACCGGCCCCAGCAGCGCGCTGGAGCTTACCAACCCCAACCTGCCCGCGTGAACAAGCTGTCGTGGATGATGCGGATCTCAATGAGATCTTGCATGGGCTGTTTAGTGACGAGGCTCAACCGGATGTCAACCCCAGAGTTGAGATCGATCCGCAGGCACGCTTTCTACCTGCGTTGCCGGTGGCTGAACCCCTGCTCTTGGGTAACTTCGAAGGGGCAAACATGCCCGAACCCAACGCCCTCCCTTTTGGACCCGATGATTGGCTGCCGGATGATCAAGCCCATGATGATCACGGTGAAATGGAGATGGACGAGCTCATTCAACTACTTCAGGAGAATATCTGAAAGCTGGATCACAAGCAGCTGCTAAATCAGCTCTGCCTTGGTCTATTGTGCTCACGCCTCCAGTTCTTGTGAAACATGATGTGATCGGCGTTGTATCCTCTCGAGGCACTACTTCGCTACTTCGCTACTTCGCTACTTTGCTTTCCCCGTCACCTTTGTTCTTTTTTCTTCTGTTTGTTTCGTTTGTTGGATTGATATCTTTCGCTACCCCCCCCTGTCATTTTTGAGATTCGAGTGTTGTTGAGTTTAAGAGTGTGAATAGAGTTGAGTCTGAGAAGCAAGCATGCTTCTGCTCTCGCGTTTCGTGCAACCCAGCGGGTTGGTCATCATAGATTGCCTGATTGAATTTATAATTCACCTGTTATCAACCACATTGCTCGCTCTGGCACTCGAGACACGGCAGCTTCCCCCTGCTCAAGGCATGTGTGTGTACCATCGTCTATTGCTTCAACGGGAGGAGAGGTGATATCCGGCAAGCGCGTGTGTGGAGAGCGAGAGAGAGTGAAAGAGCGAAAGAGGAACACCCTTTTTTTTTTTTTTTCTGATTTGGTTTTTTGGTTTTTCGACTCTTTGGGATGAGGTTGGTATGAGCTTGTTGCTGTGTGGATTGCGTGGTACTGGCTGTGACTTGAACTTTTGGGGGGGCTGAGTCAACGGCTTCATATTTGAGTCAAGGAGGACTAAATAACCGCGAGGCGGTCCACAAGCGCCTCAGCGAAGAAAGGGACAGACAAGCAAGGGCGCAGCGCGGCTGCAGAAATGGCGGGGCCAGCAGCGTGGTCCAGCTGCTCATTGAACGTAAGCCGTATAGATCTGGGCCGAGGGATGCAGCTAGACGAAGATTTGACCCAGCAAAAGAAGAAGAAAGCATGTCAAGCCGTGGGGCGCATCAGGATCATCAGTTTGGGAGAAACCATATAGTCTTCGGCAGTTCTTACCACATCAGTCAGGAGGGCGGCGTCCTCCAGCGGCCGCGCATCTGAGCTCGGTTGTGCAAACAAGCTTGGAGCTGTGTATAACACGAGCCAGGGGCATGTGAGCATGGGATCTGTTACACCAAACACCCGCAAGATGATCTGCTAGCCCTCTCTCCCAGCATCAGCGGAACGTGCGTCGCACCCGCCATGTTACAGTTCTGCTGAAGAAACGCGCGCACGTGACCGATGCGAGCGGTGGGAGGGAGGTTGAGAAAGCCAAACTTGAGTCTAAGCTGCGGGGTTCGAGATTGAAGACGCAACCGAGTGCTTGCCTCCACGAGCCGAGGCTCATGCAGCAGCGCTTCGCACACAGCCACCACCCGCCCACTCTTAGCAGGCTGCAGGCACCGAGCGTCAGACAGAGCAGGTGAGAATCGGACAGGACTGGATCAGGCATCTGTGCCGTCATAACCAAAGTCATGGCCCCTACCGGAGCACCTTGGCTACGATTCTTGCGAACAATGGCAGGGCGCTTGTAGGAGGAGGTGGGAGGTATTGACTCGCTCAAATCCGCATCAAAGTCAAAGTCAAAGTCGGCACGATTGGGGTACAGCGCATGCACCAGACCATCCATTGTGGTATCGGGCCGCATCCAACGCCGCGTCGGGCACGGCATGCGACAAGACGGGCATGTCTTACCCCTACGCGCGGCCGCCAGATGCATAACCAAGTGAGCTTTTACGCATGCCATCACATCAAGCAGACCGCCCCAGAGCAAAAAACTTCACTTACGCCTGGCGCAATGACTTGTTAATGCAGGCGCGACAAAAGCGATGAAGGCACTGCAAAGGGTGAAGCAAGAGGTCAGCTTGAAACGAGCAAGAAAACGGACAGGTGGTTTGCTGCTGAAGCGACCCAGGACGAGCGCAGCCGACCTCCTTGAGTGTCTGCGTTTCGGCAAAGGGATCAAGGCAGATGGGACACATAAAGTCGTCGCGGATGGCGCGCGCGTCGACCGAGACTTCACCAAAATGCAGCTCGCGCGGCGTTCGTTGCTGTTCATAATCACTGAGCCGTACGCCTCCCTCCTCTTCAGAGTCCGAAGAAGACTCTGATGATGATGTTGTCATGATCTTGGCCTTGACCGTATACCCCCGATGCCGCTGCGGCACTTCCGCCGCTGACGCCGACTGCGGCATCGTCCCGGCGACGGAAGGAAGTAAAATACTTTTTGTGCGTGTGTGTGTGTGTGTGTGTGTTGTGTTGTGTTGTGTGTTGTGTTGTGTGTGTACGCGTGAAGTAAAATACTTTCTCCGGCTGCTTGTCACAGTTTGCGGACTTGCAAGATGGCAGCGACACCATCAGCCACGGAGAAGAGCGCAGCGGCCACTGGGCCGCTGGACCTGGCAGGGTTGCAGCAGCAGATTACGCATGATCTCAGTGGCGCGTGGGTTGTGAGCATGGCGTACATGGGGGATCAACTTGGGTTGTTTCGGGCTGTGGCTGAGCTGGGCCCTTGCACGCCACCACAAGTGGCGGACCACTGTCAGCTGGCCGAGCGCTACGTTCGAGAATGGCTCAAAGCTGCAACCGCGGTATGTTGAGCTGCGTGATACGGTGATGCGGTAGCTCAGCCTAGTATGGATTTCCTTTTTTCTTTGCGTCCAACATGTATGCGCACAGGGCTGGCCTGACGCGGTTGACGGCGCTGACCTGAACATAGGCCAGCTACATTGAATATGATGCAGCCGGGGATCGCTACTTTATGTCCGAGGCCCAGTGCGAGGTGTTTGCTCACGAAGATGGACCTCATAACCTCGCCGGGTACTTTGGCTTTACCATGGGCAACCTCATGGTCACTGATGACATCATGGCCGAGGGCTTTCGCAAGGGCAAGGGTCTGCCCTACGGTGCCTACGGGGAGGTGGTCTCTGCCTCCCTAGGGCGCATGCACAAGCCTGCGTTCCGCTATCAGCTCGCCAATGTGAGTGAATCCAAACTGCTCCTTGGTCTCACCGTGGCCTTGGACGATAAAAAGCATGTGCTCGGCTCTCACGCTCTTCATGTTAACCCCCTGACCTTTCTACGGATCTTTTCGAATTCTCCTCTTCCAGTGGTTTGCAGCGGTGCCAGAACTTGACGCGTGCTTGCAAAAGCCCGGCTGCCGCGTTTTGGATGTGGGCTGTGGTACGGGTGAATCGACGCGTGCCATTGCTTTGGCGTATCCCAATGCCAAATGCACTGGCGTCGATCCCGACACCGCCAGCATTGAACGGGTATGCGTTTGCACCACGGTACACCGCTGGGCTCTTGCCGGCGGCGCTGGTCGCGTCATTCCTCTCATCTGATGACGCCTCCTTACTAGGCACGAGCTGCAGCCACGAACATGGGGACGAAGGGCAATCAGATGTCCTTCTTCGACCAGACAATTGAGGCATTTGCTGATGAGGCCGAGGGGCATGGCAAATTCAACGTCATCCTTTGCTATGATTGCATTCATGACATGAAGGACCCATTGTTGGCAATGGTTCAGATTCGTAGCCTGCTGCCTCACGATGAGCCCGGATATGTTCTCTGGTCCGAGCCCGCGGGCTCCACCAACCCCTTGGAGAATCGCAACCCGAAGGTAGGTTCCCTCCTGCTCGAGCTTCTCCTCGAACATATAGGTCCGTTCAAGGCCCGGGCAGCATGTGTGTTGGTTGAAGCACAAGCTATTTCACAACGCACTCTCATCCCATCTTTGCTGGCCACAGGGACGGATGCGTGCGTGCATCTCGCCGATGCACTGCCTCTCGGTTTCATTGGCCCAAGATGGCGCCGGTCTGGGCACCATCATCGGTGAAGAAGGCGCGCAGGCCCTGGCCGCTGAAGCCAAGTTTTCTACCTGCGAGCGCCGTGACGTCGGCAACAACTCTCAATTCTTTTATCTGCTGCAAGCTTGATCGCTTTTGTAATGTCCATCTGCAGTCGGCACGTTGGCCGACACTGGTCCTGCCCCGATTCTTCCATAGGCATCTACACCACTCCCAATTGATGCTCCCTTGATTATGAAACAGCGATACAAACCGATGACGCGTGATGATGTCCACGGTCCCTTTCCTCTGTCTCCATTGTTCCCCTCATGCCTGGGCCATCGTCGGAAGATGACACGGCGCTCATCACTTGCACCCCGCGACAACCGAGCACCTCCACTTGTTCTCCTTTCGACGCGCAACGGCTCTATTCCTATGTGTGTAAAATGTTACACTTTGTCTTTTTTTTGGCGAAATTTTCATTTTTCTTGAGAGAGAGAGAGAACCGTGAGTGTGTGTGTGCGTGCGCGCGCGATGGCAGGCATGCGACGGTATCGCGGGGGAGGGGAGAGATATCGCTCAAGCATTTTTGAATTGAATTGCCGCTGGGGTGTATGACCGCCTGGACCGATGATCCATGCACCTGCTTCTCATGAAACTGTACGGCTTGTACTGTTGCGGTGGCCACAGGACGTCATGGCCATGGCACATCACACCAAGACTTACCGCGAGATTGAACGGCAGCTCGAGGCGTTCTCTTTCCTGCCTCTCAACCTCTTTCGCCAGAGTAAGCCAGTGTAGATCCCATGATCGGACTCGAGACCTTCCCCTGTCTTTCGCGTCCCTGGCTCCCAAAGCTCTGACACCATGCCCCTGCTCAGTTCAACAGATTTTGGATGACTACATTGAGGAGAATTGCCAGCTCCTGCGGCAAGAGTGCACCCGTCGCAACTACGATGCCTCAATCTGCAGTGATGTTCGTCGTCGCAGCTGCGGAGCGTCAACTGACTCGTTCCGTCGTCATTTGGCCCCTGTTGGTTCTCATCCAATGTGGTTGCATCACGTAGATGATTGAGCTTGCTGCCAGCTTCTTGGCCTATGATGGCCTCATCCGCCCACTGGAGCAGTTCCAAGTGGGTTCTCGGCCCGACAGCGACCGTGTCGCGAGCTTGACCAAGATTTCTTGTCTGACGGCACGGTGCTTCTCGCATGGCTCCGCAGGAAGCTTGTCTCAGCCAGCCCGAGTGCTTCCAGCTATCTGCCAACGTCACGCAAGAGTGGCTCGATGTGAGTCGGCAACCTTGGTCTGGGCTCGCTTTCACTGATTGACGCAGCTTACAGCCGCCATTGGACGCGACGATGCTGATTCTTAGACTCCGAAAACACAAGTGACAGAGGATGACGTGCGGGCCGTTGAGCTTGAAGTCCAGCTCATCCAGGGCGAGCTCAGCCAAGCCTTGGCGTATCAAAGCGAGCTCAAGCGGCTCCAGGCCGGCATCAAGACAGATACTACGGTGAGTGCACCCCAATTTGCTCGAGATCCCCTGACTATCGTCCGGAGCTTTTTTTTTTGGATGACACTTCTCCATTTTTCATGTTTTTTTTTTTTTGTTTTTTTTCCGATGCGCACGCATGTCTCAATCACATTCGCATCTCTTGTACCCTGCCCTATCGTTGCTAGACGGCTGACCAGCAAAGCTTTAATGAGCGGCTGCACGCCCTGGCAAAGGAATGCGGGGGTACGTATCACCAAGATGTCAAGGCCATGCCATCTCCTGGCCAGGGCAGCGTTGTCTGTGTATTCTCTCAAGTGGTCTGCGGTAATTTTTTTCCGTATTGAGCCTCATCAACAACCTGGAATTGTCCATCTCTTTCAGTTGAAGACGTGGATGGCATTATCAAGATCGTGGCTGAGAAGGTAGGCCAAGTACCTCCCCCATGGATTCAAACCTGTTGCACGAACGAGTCCGGCGATCCACCATTTGGCCCTTGTTCTCACAATTGCTGTGTGCGCCTATTCTGATCTCACCTCTACTGTAGACGGACAAGCTCTTGGGCAAGCACGACTCCCTGCTCGCCGTATATAAACAGATTCTCCTCGAAGGCGAGCCCTCGCCCAAGCGCGCCAAGACTACCCGCAGCGCAGTTTCAACCAAAGCAGCTCAGGTAGGCATCGGCCCATTTCGAGTTGAATGCGTTCTTGAGCCTTTCTCAATATCGCACCTCTTCATGGCGATCTGCATTTGGCCTTGGGGTAGGCATTGGCGGCTTCCCTCAAGTGAGAGGCCCACTGTACCTGATTCACCCGCCGTGTGCGTCCTTGGGTTTGTACGCGGGTGTCAAGACTTGCATGTTATTCATGGTGTTGTGCGTGTTGCACGACTGTATAAACGCGTTGTGCCCATTTGTGCTCCAGCTCTGTCAATCGAGTATGAATTTTCGCTCGCATCGATGTCGCTTCCCTCAACGTCGTGGTCGCAAACTACGTCTTTTTGGAAGACGGACGATCATAAACCGACCCAATGCGAAGATAATCGTGATCCTCCACTGCAGACTCGTGTGGCCTTGTATCTTGTGCGCTCGCATTTGTGGGTCGCCGATCACCATCATACCCTAGACCAAAGCGAGTTCGGCTTTGTCCCTGCGCTTCGATGGGGTCGGTAATGCCTGGATGGCGGCCAACACCTTGCCCGGGCGCCCACCCGTGCCGTCGCAGCAAGCGTTGCCCAATGCCCTATATACAATGCATTGGCAAGACAGTGTCAATGAATGATGCAAATTCCATCCCACACGAGTTGGCGTGGCACCTCTGCGGAGTTGCAGGTGCTCACTTGAATATAAGCTTCCTGTGCGGCGTTGGGGCCCCCTAGATCAGGGTCGTGACGCCGACCCCAGGCCCCAGCTTTAGGAGCATAACCCTCCCGCCGCATCTGCTGCAGCTCCTGCGCTGCTCGATCACCTGGGCCTGGTGACGAGGAACATCCCAATCCCCACACAATGACTGAGAAAAGCATCGGGATCCACAAGAGCAACACCAGCCCAGATGGGGCGAGACCACTTCACACAAGGCCACTTCACACAAGGCCACGGCCCAGACCAGAGAATGTAAAATGGGTGACAGAGCAGCTGTGATGCTTTCCGTAGAAACCAGCCCATTGAACCTACCATAGCCAAAATGCTCGCTGAAATCGACGCTGTTTCCAACAAAAGGAGACAGGGCAGCAAGAGATGGCTCAAATGAGTTGAGTGAGGCTTCTTGCCGCCCCCTGACCCCCACGGAACCATACTCCATCTATTCCTGTCCACACCTACAGAACATCATCAACACATACTCGTAATCATCGGCAGTTTCCTCCTCAAAGTCTCCCTTCATCTTGTCCCAGTAATAGGCATCGTTGTGCCAGACCAAGGCATCAGCGCCGGCCTTGTCCCAGGGGTTTGAGACATCTTGCTCAAACAAGCGCTCCTTATCGCGCTCGCGTGCCGTCTCTGGATGTATTGCCATGTGCCGATCCCACTCCTCCATGTGTCTGCACGCCACCAGCATTGGCGACATTGGGGGCGTCAGCCAGGCATGTACAAGTCTTCACTTTTTTACATGCGCACAATGCCGCGACTCGGCACGTACCGGTCAGTAACGTCAGGACCGTCAAAGCGATTGGCTTCCCGCAAAGTCTGTTGCGTCGCAGCTGCCAAGTGCTCGTCATGAACGCCATCTATATCGCGTTTCTGAGACTGCGCCAATCCAGCTAAAACGCGTAGTTGCTTCTTCAAATGCGATCGGGCTGTTTGCCCCGGGTTGACGACCACAGGAGCAGCGCCGGGTGGAGCAGATGCAGTGGCAGACGTGCTGGCAGGCACGGGCGGTGGCGCAGCGGCCGTGCGACTAGTGGTTAACCCCCGGCCGACCGGTGGAGGGACTGAGCCTGTGATCATCATTGCCAGGTACCCATCACCAAGGAAGACCACACTAGGTCAGAAGGAAGCAAGCGGGTACAAGGCCAGTGTTAGCCGACTGGCGCTAAACTCACCAAATTTGCGTGCCTTGGTGCGTGTAAAGTCCAGGCGAAGCTGAGCGTACATCAAGAATGGCAAGGCACATGGTGAGAAGTTCCAAATTCACTGTCCACGGGGATTGTTATATTTTGGATAACATGCCACGCCTGCATCTCCACCACGCGAGAAATCTCGCAATTCGATCCATGTACCTGGCGTAGCAGGGAGGGTGGCATGCGGGACTCGCGGATGGCTTGTTTGATCAGAGAGACGGGTGTGCCAACGTTGCCCATCGGGAGCGCAGCTGGTGGCAGCAGTTCAGGGATGCGCCGCCCCGCAATCTGCTCGACTGGAACGAGTGACAGCTGTACTCGACCGGGCAGGTCTTGCCGGTCCAGAAGCTCGTTCCAGGTGCGCTCGCCATAGTCTTGCTCCAACATGGCACGGGCGCTACACGTCACACGCACAAGGCAAGAGCACGAGTCGAGGTCTGTGCCGCCCTGTTTCTCACGGCGATGCTTATAGTGGAAGCACTTGAAACCGCTACGCTCAACCTGATGTCCAAAGGCCTCCCGCAAATCTAGAGAAGGGGTACGGAGCCGACCAGTCCGTCATGGTGGATCAGTGCGCCTTCATGCCCCCGCGTGCAACAAATCAGCCAAAGCGTACCGGCCGCGTGCAGCTGGGCAGGGATCCCACGAATCACGCAGTAGCAATCCTCGCTCTCCATCTCGTCTGCATATGCGTAGCTCGTGCATGACCTCAGCGCCGAGAAGCCCACCGCTCAGCCTCATTTCCGGTCACACACGGAGAACCACGCGCACAGCGAAACACCAGAGAGCTGTGTGTTCATGCCGATGCGCACGTGTCTCTCTCTGTGTGTGTAAGTGTGTGTGTGTGTGTGTAAGTGTGTGTGTGTGTGTGTGTGTGTGTGTGTGTGTGTGTAAGTGTGTGTGTGTGTGTGTGTGTGTGTGTGTGTGTGTGTGTGTGTGTGTGTGTGTGTGTGTGTGTGTCCGTCTCTTTCTGTGTGTGTCTGTGTCTCTGAGTGTGTGTGTCTGTGCGCGCGCCCTGCCGTCGGTCCATCAACCCGTCCCTCCCATCACAAAAAACGATGATTGTCAGCAAAAAAATTGGACAAGCGTCAGCTCATTGATGGTGTTATGAAAATTTCTGATTTGTTGCTCCTCGCCTTCCTGTTCTTGTTGTGTTCTTGTTGGGTGCGCTTTTGCTTGTGCTGGTGTCTCGTGGACTGAGACGAGCGACATGGGTAACCACACACATGCCAACTGGACGTGTGTGCTTTTTCTTCGATGCGAAATGCTGCTTCCAGCATAGTGTTTGACTGGGCAGGACGCAGATATAAGCCCAGGTGAATAGCCAAAACAAAAAATGGGAGTGAGAACATTTGTCAAATGGTGAGAGAGAAGCGAATCATGAACAGTGCCGGCACAGCGGGCACGCGAGAAATTTAAGAGCAATGTCTACAGCCAAAGGCAGCCCAGTCGAAAAAAAAAAGCACGCATACACAACTAGAATCACAACAAAAGGAAGAAAAGAGAAGAGCCGCTGGCCCGTGTCAAGGCAGGCTCAGAGAGCCCGATAAGTGCTACCATTTACGGCACGCACAACACCTCAAACTAGATGACACTTGTTCGACATGGATTCTGACGAGGCCGCACTCTATACGTTCACACACGCAAACAGGGCACCACGCGCGTGAGTGCAAGCCATATTCGGTCTCGAATCACCTTTTGCCTCACAGAACGGCAACCAAGCAAAGACGTGCAATCATACGTACGATTTGACGGGCTCGTTACAGAAGAAACACTTGGTGCTGTTCAAGAGATGGCGCTGAATGCACATCTCGCATGATCGATGCCCACAGGGTTCAAAGGTGACCTCTTGTGGTGTCGCGTAGCAAATGGGGCACAGGTCCTCGTCGTCATCATCTGACGATAAGAGTCCACTTTCCTGGCGCTCGCGTTGGATCCGCTGCTGCTCTTGACAGTGTTGCAGGTGCTTACGACGCAGCGCGCTGAGGTAGGTGGCCAGACGCTCACCGCTGCCCGCGTCCAGGCGCTCGGCAAACTCGGTGTAAAATTGCTCCAGCTGCGTCATCAGCTCTGGTGAAAGTTGGGGACTCTGTGCCGTGGCCGTGACCGTGTCCGGTGAGGCCTCGGCTAAGGACATCAAGGCGCCCGTAACGGCGCACACCAATGGCTCCCGAATGCACGTGTTGGTGAGCAGTTTGCTGGTCAAGAACTCATGGTGATGCGTGTTTAGGGCCCGATCCAAGATGTGTAATGCAATCTCAAGAACACGAATCTGCGTTGTGCGGGCCGAGGGTGTGGATGCTGTGCAGATGCTTGGACAGACCCGGCACATTCCCTCCATGGTGCGCAGCAGCGCCATGAGCAACTCATACAGCAGCACGCAACGTCGAAACTTGCCATCCTGCTGCTGCTGCTCTCGGTTGTGAGCCTGCGGATCTGCCTGGGTTCGAAGGTCCTCGGCCATTTGGTAAAACTCGGCCAGCGTCCAATTGGCTTGATTGAGAAAGTGATTGAGAAACTTGGCCGTAAACTCGGTCTCGACCATGGACACCTCCCCGCGCAACACCTCGCCAAGCGTGTGCTGCAAAGCAGGTGAGGTCGTGTCAAATGGTGTCTCATGCGAGGGCAGCGTTACCATTTGCTGACAAACGTCATAAGCAAAAGTATCGTGCCCAAAGATGCGCTGCAGAATTTCCGTGGATGATACCCACGAGTTGCCCTCGAAATGGCTCATGACAGCCCGCAGGAGTGTCGTCTGAGTAGCCTTGTCCGTTCCAAACGCATCCACGTAGCGCGGCTGGCCCATAAGATGGCGGACGTGGTTGACAAGCATGGTGTGCAAGTCGGGTTGCGGGACCGCGCCCGCCACCGTCAGCTCGAAGAGCGCACGCGCGCCATGCAAAAGGGCGTCGATTTGATTGTTGCGGATCATGTAAGGTACAAATGCGTCAGCGTCGGTTAGGAGGACAGGCTCTGAATGCAGCCCCGTGAGTAGTTCCATGAGGGCCTCAACGTAGTAGAGGGGCAAAAGACGATGCAGCTTTTTCGCGCAGACCCGTGATATTACCACGCCCAGACCGTGCAGGACGCGCTGGAGGCGGGAACGCCGCCAGTTGCCCAATAAGGCCAAGCTACCAACTACAGCCCGCCCCACCGTCTTGCGACAATGGCTAATCTGCTTCTGCAGGGCATTCTGTTGCATCTGCGAGTCTGGATGCTCTGCGGCCAGGCGCGCTGCGGCCTGCACCGTCTCGATGGCGATGGTCACTTCAACGTTGAGGGTTTTGAAGGGCCGCAGGAGGACGGGCATGGCTGTGCTGAAAAGCCGCACCATGTGCTCCCACAGCTCAGCTGCAAAAGATGGAGCAACGCCATCCGGTAGGCTAGCGCGCTGGCCTTCAGCCACCTCCTGGTTGAGGTCGGTGAGAATGCTTCCCGGGCGCCCGCCCACGCGGGTCACGGGGATGCCAGATGGATCGTGATTGACAAATATGCCGTCGGGCAGGTTTGCCTCCACCCATTGTGCCGGTTTGGCAAGTCCGTTGTTCTCCAGATAGCCCGCAAGCGCCATCAGAACTCCAACACTTGCAGGGTGACGGCCGCGCTGCAACTGCCCAAGCCACTGCGTCAACATGGGGCGAAGCAGCGCGTTGGTGGAGGCCTGCTCGATGACCTTGGTCAGAAGCGTAGTACGAAGCTCATGCGCTTGGTTGATGCGAACATGAAGTGCCTCGATGCGTGCCTGGTAGAGTTCACTGGCCGCCACAGAGCTTGTGGGATCCCAGGGCTCACCCAGAACATCCTCGTACTCAATGCCCGTGGAAAGCTTGCAGATGAAGAAGAAGGGCGCGTGCTCGTCACGCAGCAGCCACGCGCGCGTCACCTCGGGCTCGAGCTCAAAGAGGGCGAGCACCACGTGAAGATACTGCAGTTTATTTTCCTCCCAATCCAAAAAGGCTGGACACTGCAAGCTCAGCTCGCGAAGGACCACCTCGAGCAGGCGGTGTTGCGAGTTTACGCAGAGGTCACGGACGAGGTGTCGCCAAAGACCATGCACGTCGGAGGTGGCAAGCAAGCGCGGAACGAGACTCGCAGCAGCAGATGCATGTTTGGCGACCAGCTGCATCCAAGACTGCACCACTGCCACATCGCAGGCTGCACGCAGCGCGCTGATCTTGTCCACAGCGTCATCTTGTCCACGTGCCTTACCAGCAAGCACATGTTCTAAACACGGACCGGGAAGAGGATGAGACGCAAGCAGGCCGCCAAACGCTTGCCTTTGTCATGAAGTGGACATGTGAACGATGGGCGGAATGAGACAAACCAAGGGCATAATCGCGAAAAGCATGGTTTCCGTGCCCCAGGGGGGTGATGGGCTGATATTTTTGAACCGGGTGGAAGAAAGCCCGGGCCCCCAGGTTGATAATAAAGCATTCACGGTTGGAGCCGCTGCCCGCAGGAGCGTAAGCATAGTTGGGAC